CAAGGATCTAGATGCAGCTTTACTAGATAAAACACAGGAGCTGGAATCATTTAAAAAGCAGTACAATGGTATGGTAAAGTCTTTTGCTTTATTCAAACAAAGACAGGAGCTCATTGGACCAGTGAACCAGATGATCAAAAAGGCTGGCAATGAAGAAAAAGAGATAGTCAGCGGGGGAGCTGGCCCCAGGGAGGGGTCACCTGCCCCTCCCTTCCTTCCCTCCCCATCTCCAGCTGCCTCCCTCTTCCCGCTCCACCACAACCACCCACACATGCAGGGCCTTGGAGTAGGGGTATGTCACCAGGGTGCAGAGGAGGCTACCCCCCCCCCCCCCCCCCTCTGTCCCCTTCTGGCTGCCTCTGCCTCAATTTTATCCCACAACTTAGACATTCACATTACTCACACCCTCATTACACATACATATAGGATCTTGGGGGTGGGCACGATACACGGAGTCCAAGTTACCATCAGGGTGTACACCTCACCCCTGGCATCGTTGCCCACCTCTCAATTTTAAATACACGTAGACATTGAGGGCTAGCAGGAGGGACTATGCGCTTACCTGCTGCTCTCTGGCAGGTAGCTCCAAGCCCTCCTGGGTTTTAATTGCACCTTAGAACACACATGCATCAACACTACAATGAGTGGGTGGAGGGAGGTTTGGAGTCTTCTCTCACCCCCGTTCTCTGCCGCCTGCTGGAGTGGGGGGGCTAGGAGGAGTTGGCTGTCCGACTGGGGTGTGGGGCCTCCCTGCTGCTGCGGAGTCGGGGCGGTCTGCCTCTCCCCACCGCAGGGAAAAGGGTAACACCACCTGGGTCTGGGTGCAGTTCCCCCCTCCAGGGGCAAGGGTACCTAGACCCGGTTCGTAGAGTACGCTTGGGGAGTGTGATCGTGTATACAGCGTCTCTTTATGTCTGTCTCCACGTTGGTTGAGTGTGAAGTGCACATGAGAGCATGAGGGTGGGAATGGATGTTTGTATCTGTGTGTGCCTGTATGTCTGTGTCTATATGTCAGGTTGGGTATCAGACGCCACCTCTCTGGGGACATCTCGGGCCCTCCAAGGTTTGGAGGCCTATCTCCCCCCACCACCACTTCCCCTGCCAGTGGCGGACTCCCTCAGGTGTCGGTGCGTTGGTGGTTCTTTGTATCTGGGGGTGGGCGTCCGGGTACACACCGGCTTACTCCTTGGCGGCCGCTAATTGGGGCTCGCTCGGGCCACTTCGGAGGTGGGGTGCCCCCGGCCTCTCGGCCTGGGGCTCGGTCACTCAGGCACAGCTGGCTGCCGGCGGAGCTCACGGGCGCGTCACTGCAACTCCCCCTGGCTTCTGCTCCGCGGCTGCTGAATGAGCCCTCATCTGGGACTCTCCTTAGCTCTTACTGGGACAGTGGCGCGGCTGCCCCTCTGTGGGTCTTCCTTGGTCTCTTGTGTTCTGGGGGCCTCTGGATGTCTGGAGTTTTGATCTCCTCCATACCTGCTTGATACCATAGAGGACAGGGCTGTGGCTCCCCACACTCCCTAGCAGATCATTACATGGAGAAACCTTTGGAATGCAAGCATGCTGATCCACACAGGTATGCACACAGGTGTACACATGGGTTTTCACAGACGCGGACTACAGCTTTCTTGGCTGCTGCCTCAAAGCACACTGTGCGCTATCTATCTTGCGTGCTGCACAATATCGTTTATTATTTAGTAACTATTGATATTTACTGCTAGCTAGTTTTAGGGATGGGTACCGGTGTCCGGTGCCATAAACGGTAGTAACCAGACCGAAAAGCAGCGCACATTTCGGTGCTTTATTTCGGTGCTTTTTTTTCCTGAGCTGTGATACACTTCTAGCCAATCATTTTACGTTTCCGAGGATAGTAGGCGGGGCCAGGTACGTACGTTCTTTTATGCAGAGCTACAGATTAAAAATGCCCAAGGCGAAGCGGTCAAAAGTCTGGCTGTACTTCACAGCAAAATATGCAAACTCAGCAGCCTGCAACAAGTGCTTTAAGCTGATACTGTGATACTGTCAAAGGAAGTAACACCTCAACACCCACTGTTTTAAAAAGGCCCAAAACATCATAAAAGACACCTCACATCCTGGCCACTCCCTGTTCGAACTGTTGCCCTCAGGCAGACGGTACAGGGCAATCAGAGCAAGGACTAATAGACTCAAACACAGCTGTTATCCAACTGCAATAACACATCTGAATACTACAAAAAAATGTCCATCACGCCACTCTTGTGTTAATCTATGCACGGTCTGAAGCATGTGTGTGGGAATGTATGTGAATGTTTTACTGTTATATCTTATTAGTATTTTAAGTATTCTATCTATTTTATTTATTGAATTTTATTGTTTTATTTATATTTTGATATTGCTAGGGATGATGCAATGATCGGGGACCATTCTTAATTTCGTTGTTCTCATGACAATGACAATAAAGTTTCTGATTCTGATTCTGATTCTGAAACCAAATATTCCGAGTTGGACAGTTCGGGGTTACTCAACCCTGCGTATCGTTTTTCACTCTGAGTTTTCTAAACCGGCTTCCTGAAACAGGGCCCAGCTGTCTCTCCCTCTTTCTCTCTAGTCCTCTCTCTCTCTCTCCCTCTCTCTCTCGCCAGGGCTGAACTCATTATAGGTTCACGCCCTTGGCCCACGCCCTCGGAGGAAGAAACACCTGTGCCTCATCAGTGTGGATGGTATTTAAGACAGGAAGCAACGGCTGTTCCTCGCTGGATTGTTGTGAGAATCGCGTCAGTGAAAGTCGAGCGTCCCAGCAAGTATTTTCCCGTGCAGTGTGTGTTTAGAATCTAACAAGCGTTTCTTTGTGTGCAGATTCCCTGGACTGTTTCCCTGGTGTGCGAGTGGATTCGTGTTTGGATTGTGTGGAGAGAGACGAGCGTGTTCCCCTGGATTTTCCCAGGAGCCCTGCCCCCCTCACCTTTTGTACATAGCACTGCCCCGCATCTGTGTATATACACTCATTGGATATTGTTCTTTAATAAATTCACTTGTGTGCATCATCCTCGGAGTCCAGCGCGTGAGTCCACCTTGTACTTCGTGACGCTTGTCACTTTTTTTTTTAATGATTGTGACTGTAATTGATTTAAGTGATTCAAGAGCGTTATTTTAGCTGAAAATAACTTTTCTTCTCTAAAGTCTGTTTAGGAAGGAGATATCTAATATTGAAAAATAAAAAATGGATAAATCCCTTGAAAGCCTGCTTCCAGGATTTCCATGGGAAAAATATGAGAAACCCAAAAGGAAAAAAGGAAGAATTAGCTTGAAGAAAAGAAAGAGATTTGCGGATGATAAAAATGAGGACAGTAAGTCCTTTGTGTCATTTTACCTTAAAGATCTGTTTATTAAAATATATTTCTGCATGCGAAATATAATTCTCTGAAGCTGTTGAAGTTGCAGGGTATAATGAGACATGACAGTTTTGAGGGTATTTCATATTCTTTGTCATACTTGTGTAAATGCAAATATATAAACGCATGTGTGAATTCATTCTTTACAAGTTGAGACTTCCTAAATGAAACTGCCTTTCTTTTGTTCCTTCAGATAAAGACATGCATAATTACATTAAAATTATTTTACGTGACTGCAAAGTTTTTGGCAGATATAGGTTTAGGAAACACTCTCCAGGGATCTTAGCATCACATTATACCTTAACTGGAGCACATTTTTGGCTTTATTTAAATGTAATATTTAAGGAAAGAGAACCCCCAAAAAAGTGTTGGATAATGGAGCAAACTGATGTATTTCAAGTTTTCATCCAAAGTGACAATAAGACGGGCAACATTTTCACTTCATTTAGCATGTCTTTTGTCCTGTCTCCCTCCCTCACTCCAACTGGTCGTGACAGAATGGCTGACCCTCTCTGTGCCTGGTTCTGCTTGAGTCTTCTTGTTAAAAAGCTTTTCTTTGCCACTGTCACCAAAGTGCTTGCTCATAAGGGGTTGTTAAAGAGGAAACGCTTTTATGAGTTTTATGTTGCATTAAAGTATATGTTCATATTTTACTCTTAATAGGAAAAGAACAAAATGTACTACTCGCTCTGTCTCTAGAAACAGGAAGTTCACCCTGTGACATTTAACAACTATTACAATGAAAGTAGGAAATACTCCCACAACGGGCATCTCTCTTTATACAACTTCTACAATTGCAAATTATTAGTACATTGTACATTGACCATGAAAATACATTTAATATTTATTTTTATGGAGAAAGTACTTCTTCTTTTTTTGGTGATTCAAAAAACAGAACCCTGGCATGTAAAATGTGGACTCAAAAAGGGCATCCTGGATAAAGAGAAGATGAAAAAAGGTAAGTACATGCAGTATTGTTTTCTTACCAGTCTTTCCTTTTCTCTTTTGTACATATATAAATACATCAATCAATGAATAACTTTTTCATAAAAACGATTACTTTTTTCTTTATAAATATAGGTGAGGCATGTATTGAACGTAAAGGCTCCTTTTACACTCCACCTGAGTTTGAGAAGCTTGCAGGAAAAGAGTCATGCAGAAAATGGAAGTCATCTATTTACCACGAAGGAAAACCTCTACGCTATTGGATCAAGGTACTTTGTTGCATTTTTATGAATCTACTACTACAAAAATCAGATTTCACTAAATAAACTGTTGAATTAACTTATCACAGAAAGGTTACCTAACCACTACAGGATATAGACAAAAGAAAAGAAAACCACAATCATCAGACCTTGAGTCCCACAAACTCTCAACAGGTTTGTCTGCTCTTTTTTTTTTTATTTTATTTTATCTGTGCCTCAAAACCAGAGAATGTTTGAGAATATGAATCAAAAGCATGCAAACATTATTATATCGTTTTTAATCAGCTGTTTGAAGACGTCAGTAGTTTTGTCAAATACACCACAGGATTTCAGAAAAAAAAAAAGAGTATTTGCATAGAAAAAGTCACAAAAATCTCCATGTACGTTGTAATATTTTAAACATTTAAACATCTCTTGAAAGAACCCAAGGATCATGATGATGATGATGATGAAGATGGAGAAGAGGATGATGATGATATGGATGAAGATAATGAGCCTGACACTAAGAAAAACGAAGATGAAGATGCTACACCGATTTATAGCTCTTCTGAAGAAGAAGAAGGCGTGGAAGATCTTGATGAAGATGAAGAAGGCGTGGAAGATCTTGATGAAGATGAAGATGAGGATATGGATGAAGATGATGTTGGTGACGATCAGCGTAGCACTGAGGAAGATGAGGATGAAGAAGATGATAATGATGAGGAAGAGACTGTGCCTGCTGTTGCCTCTAACCATACTGGCAGCAGTAGTACCAAAGGTGACATTTCCAATATATTTCCTATTGGTATGTTTGGATAACAAAGACCTTGTTTGTGTATGAAAATAACTCTTCCTCTTTTTTCAGACAGAGTAACAAGTGCAATTCCAACACCTGGAAAACATGCATTACAGATGAAAGAGGTAAAGGGTATCATTAACATCCTTCCTGAGGCAAGACAGATTATTTTATTTAAATGTTTCACTGTACTTTGCATTGCTGGAACTTTTGAGTATGTTAACCATCTTAGAGTACTCTGCTCTACACCATCACCATCATTAAGATAGAAATTTGGCAAATATTATGGTTCAGCATGACAAATTACAAATGTATGCTTTGACAACATCCAGTCCGACTATTTAAAATAAATACAAATATATTCTTTGTTGTCTTTAAAACAGAAGACTAGACATCATCCTGACATGCCAAGGTCTGAAGTCAGTGGAAATAACAGAGATGTGGCAACAAACACAGCAATCAAACAGCTGAATGTTAAGAAAGAACCTGAAGAGAAACTGAGTGAGTTGTTCAAATACTAAAAGCACTTTAAGGTTGTATTCAACTTCTATTTAGTTTTTTGCTTTTTTTGTTGTTGAAGTAGAAGAAAAACACTTTCAATCTATTTTCTAAGTTCACAGGTTCGTCCTTCTTTAACCTCTGATTATGTGAGATGAGTGTGGGTGTACAGTTAATTTGGCTCAGTTCTGAAATGATAATTGAAGTTCTCCAAACAATGAGTGAAATCCTTCTACAGGCTTGTGCTAAAATTAGGAGCCTTTTTATTTTATGTAAGCATTTACAGATATGTTAGCACATATGTGCACACAGCTAACTAGTAGTGTTGTTTGCAGCTTGAATAAATATTATTTCTGCATATCTTTGTGATCAAAACAGGTCGGGTGTGTTCTGTAATGAATAGTTGTACTTTCAAAAGACAATAAACGGCTATTTTATTGCGTATACCTGTCCAACTGCTCATTAATGCAAAAATCTAATCAGCCAATCACATGACAGCAACTCAATAAAGACATGGAGACATGGTCAAGATGATCTGCTGAAGTTCAGAATGAACATCAACATCAAACTAATTCTAATAATTCCAAAGTGCACATGCTCATATTTTAATCATCCTTCTTTTTTCAGAGAAGACAACAACCAGCACAATTTTGACACCTGTGAAACCTGCACTGAAGATCAAAGTAAAGGGTGTCGTTAATAGCCTTCCTGAGGTAAGACTGTTTTATTTTATTAAAAACTTAGCATTCAAAATAAAGACAAATTAAAACACCCCTGTCACTAAAGCACGTGCTCATAGGGGGTCATCTAATTGTTGGTATTTTCTCTGTATTATTGTAGGGTCTTTACAATATAAAGCACCATGAGCTGACTCTTTATAGTTTCTGTGTTATATAAATAAAATGGGTGGCAGTAGCTCAGGTGGTAGAGCAGGTCATCTACTGATCGGAAGGTTGGTGGTTCGATTCCCGGCTTCCCCTAGTCTGCATGCCAAAATCCTTGGGCAAGATACTAACCCGAAATTGCTCTCCGATGCATCCATCGGAGTATGAATGTGTGTGAATGTCAGTTGTGCTTGTGTGAATGGGTGAATGCACAAGTTGTGTAAAGCGCTCTGAGTGCTCAGAAGAGTGGAAAAGCGCTATATAAGAACTAGTCCATTTACCAAAACTTGGATTAAACTAAATGTTGCTCAAAATAGTTTTATTATTTTCAAACGAAATTATAAATAAGGATACTCATATATAATTGGCTGTCTTTGAAACAGAAGACTGGACATCATCCTGAGATGCCAAGATCTAAAGTCAGTGGAAATAACAGAGATGTGGTAAAGAACACAGCAATCAAACAGCAAAATGTTAAGAAAGAACCTGAAGACAAACTGAGTGAGTTGTTCAAAAACCATGATTTTTGTCTGCTTTTTTTTTCTAGAAAAATAAATCCAGTTTCATGTATTTGTTTTATTTTTTATTATTTCTTTTGATCTCTTCTGGTCTTCTTTTTCCAACATGTTTTCTAAATGTACAGGTCCTTCCTGTGAACCTCTGGCCGTGTCAGATCAGCAAGAGCATAAAGCTGTTCACTGCTCTGGCCACAAAGTAGCTGATTTACAATCCATGAGGCCAGAAGGGGGGTAAGATAAAGCTCTCATATCATTTAGGCAAAGATTTTGAATTTATTCACACAGTCTTAAAGGGTTGTTTTTCGACGGCATTTATTTCTCGCACTGCAAAACCAACTCTACTTGAAATTAGCCAAATATTCTTAAATCTGACAAAACTGTCTAGTTTTGAGAGAAAAAATCTGCCAATTGGGTAAGTTGTTTTGCTAGAATCCTTAAAACTAGCAAATGAATCTGTTTTATGCCTAAATTAGGCAAAACTGTCTAAAATGTGTGATTAATTTAAGAAAATTTGAATTATTACAAGGAAAGACACTGATTATTAAATTTTTTTTTACCTATAATGAGTATTATGCTTTCTTGAACAAGCTATTTTGAAGAATTATTTTGTTATTTTAGTGTTTAATTTAGATTTTCACATGAATAAAAAAGCTTTCTACAGGTAAGTCTAGATTTAAATTTTTTATATTTTATTTTTTGGCCTTTATTGATAGAGACAGTGAAGAACTGACAGGAAAGTAGAGGGAGAGAGAGGGGAAGACATGCAACAAAAGGCCATGGGTCAGGCTCAAGCCTGGTCGACCGGACGGTTCCCCAACTGGTCGACCTGCCTGTGTTTGTTTATTCTTGTTTTTCTTTCCTTTTTCTCTCCGGCTTTGTGGCGATTGTTTACCTAGTGCTGCCGCTCTCTTAGGCAGGACTATTTATTGGTGTGACTGAATGACAGTCAGTGCTGAAGTATTGCACTAAGCCTGGTAGTATTCTTGGACCGTTTGCGTATTTGAGTATTACTTGCCAGATAAGTGATCAATTGTTATCTGTGTGCGACTGGGTCTTCTTTCTCCGACAGTGACACCTGGGCTGGCTGCCTTTATGCATTTCTTAAATTGAAAAGTCGTTCAAGTGGCCTTACTCCTGAAATAAGACAGATAATCTTATTCTAGAAGAATAAGATTATCTTTCTTATTTCAAGAATCAGAACCAGAATATTCAGTTCTGAACTGAAGAAACTTCTCGGATGAGAGGTGAAACGTCTTCAAGCTATTTAAAGAAGTCCAGACACTTTTCTTTCAAAGCTCCTTAGACTACAATGACCTGGATGACTGAGAACATTCAGACATTTTTCTTGAATGAGCTTAATTTTCTTGTGCAAAAATTGCTTGTTAAGAATATGTTTTCTTTCTAGACAAAATATATAAAAAATATATTTTATAAAAATTCCATAAACAAGAGTGTTTTTACTTGCAGTGCGGACATAACGGAGGCCCCGTCGCCTGGGCCCTCAGCCAGCTCTGGTTTGAATACGATGGATCTTGATCAACTGAAGAGGGAAAAAATAAACATGCAACTGAAAATTTTAAAATTACAAGAGAACTATTACACTTTGAAAGTAAATGAACTTAAAAAATGAGGATTAATGGTTCTGTAAAGCTGACATTGCAGACAGTAAATTAAACGATTGCTGTGTTTATATCCACAAACTGACACGTTAGTTGGAAGTTTATTTGGTGGAACATTACTTTTGACAAAAGCTACAAAATCATAGAAGTGTGCTGCATTTATACACCATACTTTTTCTTTGCTATACTCAGTTTTCCTTTAGCATTGTTGATTACCATGTTTTACTTTGCTTTTAGAATTAAACAAATAGCTGATATTTTCTTCTGTAGAATGTGAATAAACATGATTTTTATCTGTAAAACATATCATGTAAGAATGGATGTTTGTGTAAAAATTGGCTAATCGTAAACCTAACTGAAGAGAAAATAGCTAACCCTGAATAAGACATGAAATTAAGTGTACTCATATGAATGAAAATTCATATATCTCAAAAGATGTGACGTCCAGAAATAGAAGGGGGTCAAAGTTAGGTGAAGAAGGGATATGGGGTTATTCCCTTTATCTTCTGTCTTCTTCTGAAATCAATAATGTGACATAACTGTTTTGAGGGTATTCCCTATTCTTATTATCCTACTTGTGCAAACGCAAATATATATCAGCATGTGTAAATTCATTCTTCACAAGCCAAGACTGCCTAAATGAAACTGTCTTTCTTATTGTCCCTTCAAATAAAGGCATACATAATTACATTCAAATGATTTTATTACACTAAGTTTTTCTACTTTAAAACTTGTAAAAAAAAAATCACCTTTTCTTTGTTTTCTTAGAGACAATGATACAATAAATAGTTTTAAAGAGTTTTTGTGGCTGTATTGTTGACTCCATTTAAACAGGGGGATTTCACTTCACTGAAGATGTATGTGCCACCCTGCCTAGACAACTTGCCCCTCCTTTGCATCCCATGTAAAATTTTGTAGATTGGCCACTGTTGGAAAATCCCAATGATTTTTGCAAATTAAGGCTCAACTAAATAAACAAAGAAAATTGTGTTGTTTCAATCACTTCAAAAATAAATATTTTGATAAATAACTAACTAAATGTATTTCCCTTCTAAAAACAAAAAAACTCAAAGGTAACATTTGAAGTTATCATAGGACATTCACATCAGTTCATTTTACATTAAAATTTAAATCGTAGTAAACTATTGTGGTTCAACGGTTGTTCAGATGAAAAAAACTTTCCCTCAGTTTATTTGAAACCTATACATACTCCTTTAATGTGGATGTATCTTGTTACATGGATATGGAGAGAAATATGCATAAACTACTGTGTAGTAAGCTGTATTAAGATCCAGCGTAAAACTGGGACATCACGACATCGCACTCCTTGCTTTTTCCATTTGTATTTCTCTTGACATCACCGACTTTTTGTTTTGTTTTTCTTAAATAAATTGGAAGTTGTTTTTTTTCTAAATAGCTCTTGACCACTTTACTAGAAAATGTAGATTTACCAATTAGAGAATTGTCAATTCCATATTACCTGGATTATATTTATATTAAAAAATATACAATGATTGTCCAAGACAAGCATATGTTTACTCCAGAAGTTGATCCAAAGTGATGTACAGCCATTGTGTTCCCCATATGCGGCTGAGCACTGACTGACTTTTCCCAGCAGAAGATCCTCCAGCATGTAGCATCAGATTATTTAAACCATATATTAACCTTTATGGGCTACTGTGTACTGCCTCTAATTGGTAAATCACATTTTCTGCTATATTTAGAAAAAGCGACCACTTTATTTGAATAAATTTATAGATAAAATGCAGGTATACCGAGGAAAGTCAGATGTCCCAGTTTAACACTGGGACATGAACGCATCTTAAGTTTGCGGATATCTGTGAAGCGGGCAGTGTGAAATGCGTCTCAAAATTATACACATTTGTAAATCATATCGTACGTGCACTTGCAACCGTTTCGAGGTTTCTCTCCATATATAAATAGCGACTGTAAATGTCAGTCTAAATCGTCTTACCTGTAAAACCTGCCGTCATTGCCGGAAGTCAGTGTTTGGGCACACACTTTAATAACTGGGGGGTGGGTTTTTTTTTCAGTGTAACTGAAAAGTAAAGTTTTACTTTCCTGTGTGGGACATCGTTTGCTGTCTAGTCGGCAACAGAGGTAAGTCCCTATTCTGGAGTTTCACATCTCTTTTTTTTAAAACAAGTGGGTTTTTTATACATGGATAATGCTTTCTATTTGCTCTCCTGTGGTTGCTGATGTGTTTGCTGATAGACCTCATAGAATTTGTTCGGTCTACACACACATTCACATACCGCTGTGTGTGTGTGTGTGTGTGTGTGTGTGTGTGTGTGTGTGTGTGTGTGTCTATAGATAGATAGATATGTATGTATGCCACTGTGAAGCAGTCACTAAGAAGTCACTTTTTCTCGCCTTGGCCACACGGAGTCGCACGGAGTGGAGTCGCCGAGGTTCATAAAAGTGGCCAAATTTTGCTTATCAGTAATAGAGTAAGCATCCTCTGGTATTAACATCTTGATAAAACTGTTGACGTGGGTTTCTATGTCATGAGCAGCTCCTGTAGGAATAATGAGTAGGTGGACCAGAACTTTTGTCCCTATAGTGTATTTCACTTTTTACTTTTATTGTATTTACATTAAAGTAGATGTAAAGTGTTTAGTGTGTTGACAGCAGTTCGTGTCAGGTCTTCAGATTTAAATTTGCAAGAGAAAAACAAGATGTGTGCTTTGACTTTGAAGCATAGCGAGTAATATATCAATCATGTCTGTGACAGATGGATATAACTGTTCTAAAGAAGTTAGACAAAACAAAAACAACATTTTCATACAAATTTGTCCAGCCATATTGACAAAATGTGAAATAAATAAAAGAGAGTTACAGTGTTGTGCAAAAGTCTTGAGCCAGGACACGTCATGCGGAGATATGTCAAGTTTTCAGCTAATAGCTCTTTGGACATCAGTTGGTTTACAATAAAAAAAGAAAATTCCTGTCAAACTGTGTTATCTGTGGCATTTTTCAGAGATTCCACTAAAGAAATTGGAAGAAATCGTATGTTTTTGTGACAGGCTGCTAGTAACAAAGTACCTAAAGATACAATTTAATACTGGTTCCTTGCTAAGTTATTTGTTATATATACAGTGTTATTTAGACAACACTGTATATATAAGTCCCTCGAGTTAGGTGTGTTTTTAATGCTTGAATGATTCATAGGTCAGTGTTAAGGGGCCTAACAATCTAAAAGAAACATCCCTCTGAAATATTCAGGCACAAGGACGGCACTGAAAACAACTGAGAAAGCAGCTAATCCAAGCTGATGTGTTCTTTAAGTTAATTCGCAATTATATTGCACTAAGGAATTCAAATATAGTCCAATATGTTAAAAAGTAATGGAAGATTACATTTTAATACATATATAAAATTTACAAAATATTTTAAAAAGTCAATGGTGTTGTGCATCTTTTTGAAAAACAGAAGACATATCTATCTGTCATCTATCTGATTAATTGACTGATTTGAAAGTTACAATGAGTTTTGTCAAATGAAGTCTAAACTGAAATAAAACAAGACATGAAAACTATGTCGTCAGACCACAATGACAAATCCTCAAAATGTTAATACTGAGAACTGTTTTCAGGACCAAACCATTAGTATCGGTATGAGCTGAACTCGAGATCTGTGCGGTGGTCAGCAAACATTTTTCGTCTCTCGCACAACAAAAGACGAACAAAGAATTCAACATTGAGTTGTGCTATTTCTTTTTATGATCATGTCGCTCGGGTAAGGGCTCACACATGTTGTTTCGGGTGGGAAGACCTTTTGACACAAATCAATGATTACCCTGAAATCTGTTTAGGAAGACTATATTTTCAGTTTTGAAAAATAAATGGAGAGGAAAAGATTTGTGGAAGAGGAAGACCAAGAAGACTGTAGATTAAGGAAAAGATGGAAGGCTGAATATGATGAACCTTCTGATGATGAAGACAAGAAGGAGGAGGAGGATCATAAAACCTGGAAGACAGAAGGAAAACGTAAGTCCTTAGTCACCCAGCACTGAACATCTTTTTAGATTTTTGAATATGTTTCTCTAATTTTATGGCATGAAAATACATTCATATTATTTTATTATAGGGAAATTATTATTATTGTTGTTGTTGTTGTTGTTGTTGTAATTTAGAGTTTTTGCCTGTAATCTGTGGAACCACAGAGGGCATCCTTGATTGTGAGAAGCTGGAACAAAGTAAGCAAATACAATCATCTGAGAAGCATAAGCACATTTCATGGAAACCATTAAACAAGAAAACACTTTATACTCTTTGAAACTGTGCCCACAAATAAAAATCATGTATATAAAAAATGGAACTTGACTTCAATGATCTGTAGTCATCAGTTTCTCTCCAGCTGAATGAATGCATGATAGATTATGCATTGGTGATGCTGAATTGCCTTCCCCCCATCTCATGAAAGCTGGGAAACATTATTGCTCTCCATCAATCATCTGGGAAAAGTAAATACAAACCTACATTAAAAAAGAAAAATCTCTAAACCTTGGATTGGATTGCAGATCAGGTGTGAGTGTTTTGAACATCTTTAAGAATTAAGAAAAAAATAAAGAGAAAGCATTTTCCTTTTGTGGTTCAAATATACAATTTTAAACAATGTGCACTGTTTTAAAGAGGATCAAATGTTAACTTGTCAAAAGTTAGCTTTATTTTTTTAAGTGTTCTTTTCTACTGTCATTTCAATTTTCCTGTGTGTTTGGATGATCAATTTAGGTAAGGCGTGTATTAAGTATGAAGGCAAATGGTATAAGCCCCCTAGATTTGAGATACTTGCAGAGAAAGGATTGTGTAAAAAATGGAAAGCAACTATTTTCTATGATGATCAACCTCTGGAGTATTGGATTAAGGTACTTTTTTCCCATTTCTATTAATCAAAGAAAATCAGATTTCACTAAATAAACTGTCAAACTAACTTTTCACAGAAAGGTTACCTAAAAACCGAGGGATACAGAAAAGGAAGATCCAAGACTAGAAAGGTATCTGAGCATGAGAGCACTGTAATTCTGATTTTCAAAAATGAATTAAAACAACACTGAGAATGATAATTAAAGGTCATTTTTCCTGAACCTTGAATCAAAAGGAAATACAATCATCCGGCTCTGAAGAAACTGAAGATGATAATGCTGAAGGTAAAGATCAGCTTTCAAACAGTGAGGAAATGCTCGTGGAAACAGAGCAGAGAGAGTAGAAGCTGAAAATGCTGGGAGTGAAGAAGATGAAGAGAAACAGGCAGAGGGAGAAATAGAAGATGAGACTGTGTCTGCTGTTACCCCATACTGACAAAAGTGTTATTAATTAAATGATGTTATTTCCTATTGGCATGTAACTATCCTAACAAAAAGTGTCTGTGTATGAAAATCACTCTTCTCTTTTCAGAGAGGACAACAAAACATACAATTTCAACAGCAGCGAAACATCCATTCAGGGGGAAAGAACTAAGAATTATTCTCAAGAGATGTTTTGATGGAAGACAGGTAAATATATATATCTTTTTTTTTTTAAATTTTAATACACTTTACTGTCTGGTATTTTTGGTCCTCGTGTGAATGTTAATGACATAAGATTACCCTTATTTTTTAATCAGGCCATATCATCAGGTCAGAATTTCAATGTAAAACGTAATACTACAAATCACTGGTTACTCTACTAGTAACTATTTTAATTCCATCAAAGTTTCATTTCCTTTTTGCCTATCATTTAAACTTGATATCACCAATACAACTATAAAAAAATAATGCATTAATTGCTGAAACTTGGAAATTTGATCTAAAATTATGGCTGTCAGTGTTAACATGGATCATCACGATTAACGTGACACCTATCTATCTATCTATCTAGCTATCTAGCTATCTAGCTATCTATCTGGTTTAAGAGAAGCTCGAGAAATACCAAGGGCTCAGAGAAGAGCTCGAGAGGATGTGGAGGGGGGAAGGTAACGGTGGTCCCCGTGGTAATCGGAGCACTAGGTGCGGTGACTCCCAAGCTAGGCGAGTGGCTCCAGCAGATCCCGGAAACAACATCGGAGATCTCTGTCCAGAAGAGCGCAGTCCTGGGAACAGCTAAGATACTGCGCAGGACCCTCAAGCTCCCAGGCCTCTGGTAGAGGACCCGAGCTTGAAGGATAAACCGTGTATACACTGGGGCAAAAAAGTATTTAGTCAGCCACCGATTGTGCAAGTTCCCCCACCTAAAATGATGACAGAGGTCAGTAATTTGCACCAGAGGTACACTTCAACTGTGAGAGACAGAATGTGAAAAAAAATCCATGAATCCACATGGTAGGATTTGTAAAGAATTTATTCGTAAACCAGGGTGGAAAATAAGTATTTGGTCAATAACAAAAATACAACTCAATACTTTCTAACATAACCTTTGTTGGCAATAACAGAGGTCAAACGTTTACTATAGGTCTTTACCAGGTTTGCACACACAGTAGCTGGTATTTTGGCCCATTCCTCCATGCAGATCTTCTCGAGAGCAGTGATGTTTTGGGGCTGTCGCCGAGCAACACGGACTTTCAACTCCCGCCACAGATTTTCTATGGGGTTGAGGTCTGGAGACTGGCTAGGCCACTCCAGGACTTTCAAATGCTTCTTACGGAGCCACTCCTTTGTTGCCCGGGCGGTGTGTTTTGGATCATTGTCATGTTGGAAGACCCAGCCTCGTTTCATCTTCAAAGTTCTCACTGATGGAAGGAGGTTTTGGCTCAAAATCTCACGATACATGGCCCCATTCATTCTGTCCTTAACACGGATCAGTCGTCCTGTCCCCTTGGCAGAAAAACAGCCCCATAGCATGATGTTTCCACCCCCATGCTTCACAGTAGGTATGGTGTTCTTGGGATGCAACTCAGTATTCTTCGTCCTCCAAACACGACGAGTTGAGTTAATACCAAAAGGTTCTACTTTGGTTTCATCTGACCACATGACATTCTCCCAATCCTCTGCTGTATCATCCATGTGCTCTCTGGCAAACTTCAGACGGGCCTGGACATGCACTGGCTTCAGCAGCGGAACACGTCTGGCACTGCGGGATTTGATTCCCTGCCGTTGTAGTGTGTTACTGATGGTGACCTTTGTTACTTTGGTCCCAGCTCTCTGCAGGTCATTCACCAGGTCCCCCCGTGTGGTTCTGGGATCTTTGCTCACCGTTCTCATGATCATTTTGACCCCACGGGATGAGATCTTGCGTGGAGCCCCAGATCGAGGGAGATTATCAGTGGTCTTGTATGTCTTCCATTTTCTGATGATTGCTCCCACAGTTGATTTTTTTCACACCAAGCTGCTTGCCTATTGTAGATTCACTCTTCCCAGTCTGGTGCAGGTCTACAATACTTTTCCTGGTGTCCTTCGAAAGCTCTTTGGTCTTGGCCATGGCGGAGTTTGGAGTCTGACTGTTTGAGGCTGTGGACAGGTGTCTTTTATACAGATGATGAGTTCAAACAGGTGCCATTCATACAGGTAACGAGTGGGGGACAGAAAAGCGTCTTACAGAAGACGTTACAGGTCTGTGAGAGCCAGAGATTTTCCATGTTTGAGGTGACCAAATACTTATTTGCCACCCTAATTTACGAATAAATTCTTTACAAATCCTACCATGTGAATTCATGGATTTTTTTTCCACATTCTGTCTCTCACAGTTGAAGTGTACCTCTGGTGCAAATTACTGACCTCTGTCATCATTTTAAGTGGGGGAACTTGCACAATCAGTGGCTGACTAAATACTTTTTTTCCCCACTGTATATGTGTATATATATATATATATATATATATATATATGTGTATATATATATATATATATATATATATATATATATATATATATATACATACATACATACATACATACATACATACAGGACCCTTACTAGCCTTAGTAAGGGTCCTAAGGCTAGACCCCCTATGCTAAGCAAGCCTACCGCAGACATGAGCGAGACAGATAAATATGAAGGCATGCCGGCTCGGACGTCGCCCGGATCAACAAGGTCCGCGTCAGGTGTTGAGGAACCAGGGCACCCTGACGAAAAGTGGGCTACTGGAACAAGAAGGCATCGGTGGGCAAGGGACGAAAACAGGGCGTTGTTGGAATGCTACTACGCAAGTAACCCCGGCGGAAGGGGCTACATGAATAGGATGAGGGACCTATGGATTCTTCGATACCCAACATCCACAATGACGGCGAAACAACTAGTAGCTCAGTGTTCCAACATTCGAAAGAAGGGACTGCTCTCACAGCTAGAGATTGACGAGGTACAACACAAATGCTACGGCAAGGAGGAGTCAGGACGCCAGGTCAGGGGGGAGATATCATCACCCCCACCCGAGATTGGGTACATAGCCCCAAGTGTGATAGGAGAAGGATCGTTGAGTGCGAGAGGAACTGACCTGAAAAATAGGATCATGGCCAAGCTTGAAACCTGGATCCCCGTAGCCGGTTACCAAGATTACGTGAAGTACCCTCAGAAGGTCTGCTAGATGATGTTAATGCAGCACTACGGGCAATACCTACAACCACGATTACCGACACTAACAAGCTGATCTACAATACGGCAGCAGTGATCAGTGAGATGCTTGGCTACAAGTTGAACAGCCACAAGGGGCAGTACCCTCCATGGAGAAGGAGGCTAGAGGGCAAGATCAAAGTAGCACGGAGAGAGGTTAGCCAACTAACGGAGTTGCAGAAAGGTGCGACGAATAAGGTGCCTAAGAAATACAGCAAGCTGTCCATACCTGAGGCCTTGGAAACTGCCAAGCAAAGACTCACAGCCTTGGCCAGCCGCTTGAGGAGGTACACCAGAGAGATAGAAGGCAGGAGAATAAACCAGCTGTTCTCCACCGAACCAGCAAAGGTGTACTCTCAGTGGCAAAGGAACAATAAGAGAACAGCACCACCAAGGCTGGAGACGGAGCAATACTGGAAGAGCATATGGGAGAAGGATGCAACCCATAATGGCAATGCTCAGTGGCTAGAGGATCTGAGGGCAGACCACAGCGACCTCCCTGAACAGGGTCCAGTAACCATCATAGTGGCAGATATCCAAGAAAGGGTCTCCAGTATGAAGAGTTGGACAGCACCAGGGCCCGACATGGTTCACGCCTACTGGCTGAAGAAGCTGACTGCACTCCACGAGCGTCTGGCAGCACAAATGAACCAGCTGCTAGTTAACGAGAGACACCCGGAATGGCTAACTGAAGGCCGGACGGTCCTGATCCCCAAGGACCCCAAGAAGGGACCGGTCCCCTCCAACTACCGACCAATAACCTGCCTCAGTACTACATGGAAGCTCCTGTCAGGCATCATATCGGCTAAGATGAACAGGCACATGGGTCAATACATGAGCGGGACACAGAAAGGAATTGGCAAGAATACCAGAGGTGCAAAACACCAGCTACTGGTAGACAGAACAATCAGCCGAGACTGCAAGACCAGACTGACCAACCTGTGCACTGCCTGGATTGATTACAAGAAGGCCTATGACTCAATGCCCCACAGCTGGATACTGGAATGCCTAGAATTGTACAAGATCAATGGGACCCTAAGAGCCTTCATCAGGAACTCAATGGGGATGTGGCGTACAACACTAGAGGCCAACTCCAAGCCCATAGCACAAGTCACTATCAAGTGCGGGATCTACCAAGGAGATTCTCTGTCCCCACTGCTGTTCTGCATAGGCCTGAACCCCCTCAGTGAGATCATTAACAAGACTGGCTACGGATACCGACTACGGAACGGAGCAGTTGTCAGCCACCTCCTGTACATGGATGACATCAAGCTGTATGCCAAGAGTGAACGAGACATCGATTCACTGATCCACACTACCAGGCTATACAGCAATGACATTGGAATGTCGTTCGGACTGGAGAAGTGTAGTCGGATGGTAACAAAGAGAGGGAAGGTAGTCAGAACTGAGGGGATTGAACTACCAGAAGGCAACATTGCAGACATAGAGGACAGTTACAAGTACTTGGGGATCCCGCAGGCGAATGGGAACCATGAAGAGGCCGCTAGAAAAGCTGCAACCACCAAGTACCTGCAGAGGGTCAGGCAAGTCCTGAGGAGTCAGCTGAATGGTAAGAACAAGATCCGGGCCATCAACACGTACGCCCTGCCCGTGATCAGGTACCCTGCTGGGGTAATAGGCTGGCCAAAGGAGGAGATAGAAGCCACTGACATAAAGACAAGAAAGCTCCTTACCATGCATGGAGGGTTTCACCCCAAGTCCAGCACCCTGAGGCTGTACGCTAAGCGGAAGGAAGGGGGCCGGGGACTGGTGAGTGTCAGCACCACAGTCCAGGATGAGACAAGGAACATCCAAGAATACATTGGGAAGATGGCCCCAACTGACCGAGTGCTCAGTGAATACCTCAGGCAGCAGAAACCCAAGAAAGAGGAGGGAGACGAGGAACCATCATGGAAGGACAGGCCCCTGCACGGTATGTACCACCGGCAGATAGAGGAGGTGGCTGATATCCAGAAATCCTACCAGTGGCTGGACAAAGCTGGACTGAAAGACAGCACAGAGGCACTAATCATGGCAGCACAAGAACAAGCTCTGAGCACAAGATCCATAGAGGCTGGGGTCTATCACACCAGGCAAGACCCCAGGTGCAGGCTGTGTAAAGATGCCCCAGAGACAATCCAGCACATAACAGCAGGGTGCAAGATGCTAGCAGGCAAGGCATACATGGAACGCCATAACCAAGTGGCCGGCATAGTGTACAGGAACATCTGTGCCGAGTATAACCTGGAAGTCCCGAGGTCAAAATGGGAGATGCCCCCAAGGGTGGTGGAGAATGACCGAGCTAAGATCCTGTGGGACTTCCAGATACAGACGGACAAAATGGTGGTGGCTAACCAACCGGACATAGTGGTGGTAGACAAACAGAAGAAGACGGCCGTAGTGATCGATGTAGCGGTTCCGAATGACAGCAATATCAGGAAGAAGGAACACGAGAAGCTGGAGAAATACCAAGGGCTCAGAGAAGAGCTCGAGAGGATGTGGAGGGTGAAGGTAACGGTGGTCCCCGTGGTAATCGGAGCACTAGGTGCGGTGACTCCCAAGCTAGGCGAGTGGCTCCAGCAGATCCCGGGAACAACATCGGAGATCTCTGTCCAGAAGAGCGCAGTCCTGAGAACAGCTAAGATACTGCGCAGGACCCTCAAGCTCCCAGGCCTCTGGTAGAGGACCCGAGCTTGAAGGATAAACCGCCCGCAGGGGCGTGCTGGGTGTTTATATGTATGTATATATATATATATATATGTATATATATACGTATATATATGTATATATGTATATATATATATATATATATGTATATATAGGTACTTGGTGGTTGCAGCCTTTCTAGCGGCCTCTTCATGGTTCCCATTTTCCTGCGGGATTCTCAAGTACTTGTAACTGTCCTTTATGTCTGCAATGTTGCCTTCTGGTAGTTCAATCCCCTCAGTTCTGACTACCTTCCCTCTCTTTGTTACCATCCGACTACACTTCTCCAGTCCGAACGACATTCCAATGTCATTGCTGTATAGCCTGGTAGTGTGGATCAGTGAATCGATGTCTCGTTCACTCTTGGCATACAGCTTGATGTCATCCATGTACAGGAGGTGGCTGACAACTGCTCCGTTCCGTAGTCGGTATCCGTAGCCAGTCTTGTTAATGATCTCACTGAGGGGGTTCAGGCCTATGCAGAACAGCAGTGGGGACAGAGCATCTCCTTGGTAGATCCCGCACTTGATGGTGACTTGTGCTATGGGCTTGGAGTTGGCCTCTAGTGTTGTACGCCACATCCCCATTGAGTTCCTGATGAAGGCTCTTAGGGTCCTATTGATCTTGTACAATTCTAGGCATTCCAGTATCCAGCTGTGGGGCATTGAGTCATAGGCCTTCTTGTAATCAATCCAGGCAGTGCACAGGTTGGTCAGTCTGGTCTTGCAGTCTCGGCTGATTGTTCTGTCTACCAGTTCTCTCTCAAGATTCAATAATGTTGATGTCCGGGGTGTCTTGAGGCCAATCCATCCATTTCTATTCAGGCATTCTTTTACTGCCCTGGCAGTGTGTTTGGGATCATTGTCATGCTGGAAAATGACCCCTTTGCCAAACAGATCCTTTTCAAACTGTTTTGGATTTCTTTAAAACAGAAGAGTAATATATAACTTGGGACCAGTGCCACTCTATACCACTCAAAATTCTAGTTTTCAGTATTTCACAGTCTTTTACCATCATACAAGATCATACAGCAATTAAAAGAAACACTGAAAACAGCAAATGCGAGTTTTCCATTGTTTAATCTTAAACACTGGTGGGTTTTTTGGGGTGCTGAATCCAAAATGATCTCAATTTTCCTCCATCACATACAGTTTTTTTGCAAAACATAAAAAGTCTTTACCCAACAATTCAGCTCCATCTTTGGAAGGGCCTAAATCTCTGGCTAGATCAATAAGCTCGCTCTGAGAAAATGGCTGGGGTCCCTCATCAACAGAAAAATCTGAGGTAGTTTTGTCCTGGTGAGGTAATGTGTCTCCGTCCTCAGAATCACTCCTGATATCATCTAACTTGAAGGTGGGTGTAGAACTGGTATTTCTGAGGTATGAGGCACTGATAGCTGAACTAAAATTTGAGTAAGATATGTTCTTTTTATTTCTAGTATTAAAGCCTCTTAAATCTACCGAACAGAAATAGCAATCAGTAGTGTGGTTTTGCAGTTCACACCAAAAGGAAATGAGTTTTTCTTACTCTTAAACCACCAAAACATATCTTCCCTACATCTTCTACACACCTTGTGAGGAGCCCATGGTTTGTCTTGATTCCCAAGTTTCAACTTGAAGTAAGCAAAATAAACTTTCTTCACAAAATCACTTGTGTTCCTTTGTTAACAGTTTATTCACCACAAATAAAACAAAAGTTGTCTGGAGAAATTACACAACCTCTTGGAGCCATAATACAGAACTAAAACATGTGCATGGTCCAGATTGAATGCAGGATGTAAACTGAGTGTGGCTTATACAGCAGAGAAAATCCGGAACTTATTTAGCATGATGAAAAATGAACAAATCTGAAATCTTATGCAGTTTTTTGGTTGTAGACCTGTGTAATTTAAAAATGAATATCTGGTGTTGTAAATGTAAATCTAATTTAAATGTTTAATTTTGCCTCAGGGAACAGGTGCTTGTCACTCCAAGTGGATGACCCGTCCAGGAGAGTGCAGCAGCTCAGCAAAAGTTAACACACCCACTGCAGCAGCGACACTCATTGCTCCCTCACACATACATGACCTATCCATCAATGGAAGTGATGGGGAAGCCAGTGAAGACCAGTTACCACAAAGCAGTGAAAGAAAAGAACAGGAAGCTTCCACATCTTTGGAAATAGTGAATAAAACTGAATCCAGGGTCTTAAACTCTGGTATTAAAACAGTTTAACATCAAATAAATATTTAATAGCCACTGTGCATTTTTTTCATATATTTGATTAATTGACATGTTGACTTTTGCAAAGATGCAAGGATGGACGACAGAGAAGACGGCCATTTAGTGCACTGTGGGGATGACAAAGAACAAAATAGAGAAGATCCTCTTGATATGTCCAGGTCTGAAGTTAGTGGAAATACCAGAGATGTGGCAATACAAACTGTGCCAAAAGTGCTACTGAGTGAGTTCTTCAAAACCCAAAAACAGTTGCATGTGTTTTGGCTTTCTTATTTTGTCAGTGTTTTTCTAGAAGAGATTCCTACTATCTCTTCTGAGAAAAAAGTCAGAATTCTGAGAAAAAGTCAGAATTCTGACTTTTTCTCAGAATTCTGGAAAGGAAGACGTGCCCGCTTTTTTTCCCCTCCGGTGGTCCTAATCCTCTTCCGTACATTCATGGCCATAATCAATGCATGACCACAACTGGAAGTGACTTTGAACATGGCATGGCTGTGGGTGTCAGTTACACCGGTCTGAATATTTCAGAATCTGCTACTCGGGTTTTCCCAACAATCATCTGTAGAGTTTACAGGGAATGGTCCTAAAAAGAGAAAATATCAAGTGAGCAGCAGTTCTCTGGTGTAAAATGAGGTCAAAGAAAAATGACCAGATTGCTTTGTGCTGATAGAAAGACAGTAACAGTAACTCAAATAATGACTAATTGCAATCAGGGTATGCACAAGAGCATCTCTGAACACCAAACAGTGAAACAGATGAACTGCAACAGCAGAAGACCACACAGTTTGAGTGCTGCTAACTTGAAAACTATTTTGAGAAATTATTTGATTCTACTAATAGTAATTACAAATAATTATAAAGTGTACATGCATAAATCTAATGCATTGTTATCCCTATCAAGAAGCAAAAATACAGCCTGCAGAAGAAGCTGGGGGAGATATTGTTGAAGATAAGGACCAGTTTCTAAGCAGTGGGCAGCTGGCAGTGAAAACAGAGCAGAGAGCTGAAGAGAAGGTCGGGTCTGGACATGAAAACGAGGTTGTAAACTCAGAAGATGCTGGGAATGAAGAAGAGGAAGATGAAATGGAAACGGGAGGAATGGAATCTGAAGCTGTACCTGCTGTTGCCTCTAACCACACTGACAAGTGTGTTATTAAAGGTGATATTTCCCACAATTCTCCTAATGGAAAATAGTAAATACTTTCTATGTGTGTATTAATTTCACTTTTTGGTAACATTTTGTCTTTTGTACAGAAAGCTCAGCAGAGAGAGGAGATGCACAGTCAGCAAACTGTGGGAATGAGAAAGAAGGAGACGATCCTCCTAACATGCCAAAATCTGAAGTCACTGTAAAAACCAGAGACGTGGAAAGAAACACACCAATCAAACAGCAGAATGTGGAGGAAAAAACAGAAGAGGAAATGAGTGAGTCGTTCAAAAACTGAAATCACTAGCAGGATTTCTTTCAGCTTTTTTTAAGAGAAAAAAATTCATGTATTTATTTTATTTTTTATTATTATTTTTAATCTTTTCTGGTCTTTTTTTCCCCAATATGTTTTCTAAATGTACAGGTCTTTCCTGTGAACCTCGGGCTGCGTCAGATGAGTGTGAACATAAAGATGTCCACTGCTCTGGCCACAATGTAGCTGCATTACAATCCACGAGGCCAGAAAGGAAGTAAGATGTAGCTGTCCTATCATTTAGGTAAAGATTTTTAATTTAGTCAAACAATCTTAAAAGTTAACTTTTTTCCACAGCTCATCTCCAGCAAGTCAAACCTCTGTCGGCATTAATTTCTCTCACATGTCAGAGACTCTGTCGCCTGGGCCCTCAGTCAGCTCTGGTTTGAATACAACGGATCTTGATCAACTGAAGAGGGAGAAACTAAAAATGCAACTGAAGGTCTTAAAATTACAAGAAGAGTGTTACACTTTGATAATAAAAGAACTTAAAAAATGAAGATTAATGCTTCTGTAAAGCTAAATTTGAAAAATGGCTGCAGTATGTCCACAAATGACATGCGTTATTTGGAGGTTTCTTTGGTTAATTGTTACTTTTGAGAAAAGCAACAAAATCATAAAACTGTACTTTGTCTCAGTTTTCCTTTCACACTGCTGATCACTGTGTTTTACTTTGTTTTAATAATTCCACATACAGCTGATATTTTCTTCTTGAAATTCTGAATAAACAACATTGATGCTTTTTATCGGTAAATTGTGCAGATGTTGTCAAACTGTTTTCTTTGGACTTTGCCCAACCTGTAATAATCATTGTAAGGAACAGCATTGTAATTAGAAGAATACATTCCTTGAATTTTTTGAAGTGGCCTTGAGCAAAAGTTCTCCAGCCATCATTGGCTGCTTTGTCACTCATTTTCAGTCCACACAATACAAAGCAATCTGACACGCGTACATCTAAACCTAAATAAATACATGTTTCTGTTGAGTTTTGAACAAGAAAATCATATTTATACAAATTTTCAAAAGACCCCAAAAACATGTTTATTACATCTTTTGTTTGTGTTCAGATGTCAAACTAAAAAATAGAATGGAAACTCTTTTTGTACATTTATATTTACAGTTCATTCATTTATTAATAACACGGGTACTATTCTGTCATATTTTTTTCCTCTTCCTCGTCATCATCGTCATCAAAATATTTATCCTCTGCATCTCTGTTGACAATGTCCAAGTTGTCATAGTCTGGATTCTCATCCACCTCCCTGTAACACAAACACATAAACACCTTAAGTCACTTTCAAAGCCCACAGTGTGGGATTTTTGTCATTTTCCACTGAACTTCAGTTTGTAACTTTTCCCCTCCTCTGGAGTCTCTTTACTAACTTGTATTAACATGTGTGATTTCACAACAGCTTGTGCAGCACAGCGTCAATATGAAACAAAACAGTTGTGAAAAAGTTCAGTTGTTAGTAATGTATTTTCAGTATGGAGCATACTTTGAGCATGTGTCACGCAACATGCCCAGACAAGTGGCAAACATGTCACTATGGTAACCATAAAGCTACAGGTCAAAGGAGCTTGCAAAGAAAAGCGTCTGGACTTCTATAAGTTTCTTGAAGACGTTTCACCTCTCATCCGAGAAGCTTCTTCAGTTCTAAGGTCAAATGGTGGAGAGTCCCAGATATAAACCTAGTGGGAGTTTCCCCCCACAGAGGGACAAAAGGACCCCCTGATGATCCTCTAATCGCCTGAGCCAAGGTGTGAAACTGGGTGTGGGTCCCAATCAGCCAGAGTTTCGGGTGTGTTCATGTGAAACCTGGCCCCACCTTATCATGCGAATTCCTGAGGTCAGATGGCCCAGGATGTGAGTGGGCGTTAAGGCGTCTGGGAAGGGATCTCAAAACTGGATTATAGATGGCAGAGAGTTTGTGTCGTAAACCACCGGCTCTGTTCAAAGATGGTCGCTCACAGTGGACATAGATGGCTTCTTTCACTCCTCTTTCAAACCATCTGTCCTCTCTGTCCAAAATGTGAACATTGGCATCCTCGAAAGAGTGTCCTTTATCCTTAAGATGCAGATGGACTGCTGAGTCTTGTCCTGTGGAGGTGGCTCTTCTGTGTTGTGCCATGCGCTTGTGAAGTGGCTGTTTGGTCTCTCCAATGTAGAGGTCTGGGCATTCCTCGCTGCACTGTACAGCATACACCACATTGTTAAGTCTGTGTTTTGGCGTTTTGTCTTTCGGGTGAACCAGTTTCTGTCTGAGCGTGTTGCTGAGTCTGAAATGCACTGGGATGTCATGCTTGGAGAAAACTCTCCTGAGTTTTTCTGATACACCGGCTACATAGGGGATGACAATGTTGTTGCGTCTGTCCTTCTTATCCTCCCTCGCTGGTGTCTGGTCTTCTTTTCTGTGCCTCTTTGCTGACTTTAAGAACGCAAAGAGGCGTTCTTAATAAGGTGGGGCCAGGTTTCACAATGAACACACCCGAAACTCTGGCTGATTGGGACCCACACCCAGTTTTACACCTTGGCTCAGGCGATTAGAGGATCATCAGGGGGTCCTTTTGTCCCTCTGTGGGGGGATACTCCCACTAGGTTTATATCTGGGACTCTCCACCATTTGACCTTAGAACTGAAGAAGCTTCTCGGATGAGAGGTGAAACGTCTTCAAGCAACTTAAAGAAGTCCAGACGCTTTTCTTTGCAAGCTCCTTTGACTACGATGACCTGGATGACTGAGAACCTTCACAGACATAAAGCTACAGATTCAAAAGAATTAGTAAGCGTTGAATTTTAGGCCAAACCGTGATCGTTTTCTAAACTTAAACCTGCAGCTTTTAATTCCTAACACCAACCAAGTTGTTTTTAGTGCCTGCACATAACCATGTAATGCATTTGGTATTGATAAAATGATTTTACACGTGGAAAGTACTGTGGAAAGAAAAATCTGTGTATATGTGTCCGGACAGATGAAAAATCGTGATCCAGGACACAAATGAATAAAATACAGGTCGTCTGTACCTCATGAACTGCCTTTAAACTGCGCTGAGCTTTAACAAAAATAACTTTGGCAGATTACGGAGTTCTGTTATTCTGTGAACTGATTAATCTATGAGGAATGATCATCTCAAAGCTTTAATAACAAAACTAGTTATTTTTTCAGCAACATTCTCAAAAAGCCTGCTTACTAATTTGAAAATCTTACATTACAAACACCTACAAACATACACTTAGGCTACGCTCACACTGCAGGCGAAAGCGCATCAAATCCGATTTTTTTTTACCCTATGCGACCCATATCCGATCATGGTATGACAGTGTGAACGGCACAAATCCGATATTTTCAAATCCGATCTGGGTCACTTTCATATGTGGTCCTGAATCCGATACATATCCGATGTTTTAGAAAGCGACTGCTGTTTGAACGGTCAGGTCGAATTAAATCCGTCTTTTACGTCACTGACACAAGACAGACGCCAATTATCAGCTCCGGAGTAGCGCCCGAGAACACATCGTGAACGCTTCCTGGACATCCAGTGTAGATGTTAGTGAAACTGTTGGGAAGACAACGTGAACATTTTATTTGTACTGTATAATCTGCAGATTCTGACAGAAATCTGCAACTATCCTTTGAAGCACCGCTCCTCTAAAACAGCAATAAGGATCATTATTAGGTTATTTACATTATTATGTAAATAACAAAATAACTTAAAGCAAAAATTGGGAAACGTGAAGCCCGAAGTCTTTATATTAAGGGCCAAACAATACTGTTTGGTCTGAGTCTAAACAGAGCGTGTTGTGTGTGACGTCCTCTTTTGCGCATGTGGGCCGCTTTGAGGGTTTTCACTAGAGCGCGTTTGCTGTCGCATTTTATTTGTAGTGTGAACAAGCAGACAAAAAAATTGGCTTTGATCAAAAAATTGGAATTGAGCATTAAGACCTGCAGTGTGAACGTAGCCTAATAGTCTGAGGAACTCGAGCTGTCAAAGGCAGCTTTAGGTTGGCTACAACGCGATGAAGAAGTCTTTGAACTGCTCCTGTGTGCTGTGTGACTGACCTATAGTTGAAATCCTTGTCTTTGCCATCCAGAAAACGCTGGTGCATCTGACTGATGAACTCCTCTCTGAGAAGAGCCTTCTCCTCTGGCGTCGGCTCCCATTCCTTCTGCTGGTCTCTGTCATCTACAGCATGAAACACAGAGCAGAATAAGAAAAGATGGAGGGAAAAGAAGAAGAAAAGAAAAAAGCCTAAATTTTCTTCTTTGCTTAACTTCAGTGTGAAGTTTTTTCTTCAACCCGAACTCTGACTGACCGTAGTCGTCGTCCTCCTCTTCTTCCTCCAGTGCGCCGTCTTCCTTCTCCTGCTCCTCCTGCAGACGATTTTGGATGAGTCGTTCCTGGTAGGAGTTGAGGAGCAGATTGGCGAGTCCTCCTGTACCTTGCCCCGGCTCCCCGGGTCCTCCCTGTGCACCATCCAGCATGGCCTCCTGGGAGCGCTGTAGCACCTGAAGCATTCATGAAGGTAATTAGAAAAATACTCTGAAATATACAAAAACATAATCACATATAAAACGCAAGATAAACAGAACTCACCTCTTCATCTGTCAGGTACTGGCCGATATACTGTTCGTACAGCAGCGGCTCCCTCATTCGCATCTGTTCTTCACTGAAGTACTGGCCGTCTAGAAGAGGAGGAATGGCACTATCAAAGACTAAAGCTATCTGCACAAATGCTGCATGGGTCCACTGTATCATTAACTGCTGCTGCCCCTACCCTTCTGCAGAGCCCTGAGGGCAGCATAGCGCTGATTCCTGACTCTGGTCCTGTCGGTGCGTCCTGCAGCCCGTCTCTGTATCACCTTGCTGTAGTGCTGTGCTCGTGGGTCTGAGCTGACATGTGCAAATGCTGAGAGATGCTGAGGCTTCAGGCAAGCCTGGAAATTGTAAGATGAAAAACAAAATATAATAATGGAATTCTTCACTTCTTTACCAACACCACAATATTTAGTTAATGTATTTTGAAACTGGATTTTTTGCAGACCTGTAATGTAAATGTTCCTGTCTGTAAAGAACTTTTGGGTCAGCTTCTGTTATTTAATGTGCTATAGGTAGACGTAACAGTCAACACACAGTCTCAGTGCATGTTTGAAGTACATCTTTTCTTTCTAAACAATAATAACAGTTTATTCAACACAATTCAGTGCTCTGCAAACTAAACTCAGAGGACAGAAGTATCAGTTGTATCGCACTAGTACAAACCCAATACCAATGCCAGCACTGGTATCAAAATGATATTTAGATCGATAGGCCCACCTCTACAGAGGAAGATTTAGTACTTAAAAAAAAAAATATATAGCTCAACAACCATCAGCCAATGCTGTACTCTGCAAAATATACAAGGAATTTGTTCCCACTGAAAGTGAAAACAAGACACACTTCTTTCACTCCTTAAGGCAAAAACAAAGCTAAGTACAGCCAGGCTAAGGAGGAGGAGATGCTAACAGCTGATGATGTGTGACCCAAATGTCAACAAACGACTCCACTGTGTCATTTGAGCACTCGCTGGTTGCACTCCATATGACAGGAACACTAAAAGGGATGTGGGAATTACTGACACTAGCACTAACTAGGCTACTTTTTTGCTTAAATTTGATTCATGCTCTGTCACTACTATTGAACTACAATGCTGGCACCTTGTTCCAACAGAGTAACACATTAAGTGATAAAGAGTGCCATCAATGGCAGCACGTCACTGGGAAAGAAGTTTGCCTTGATTTACTTATGAATGTCATTGCCTCTAAGCATCTATATTGGGCGATGTTGCCCTTCACTAACACACACACACACACACACACGTTGAACTGTGGGCACATACATGGTACCTCTCCAGGAACACCAGCGGCCTGCTGCGGTACTGATGCAGCAGCTCCTCTCTGCGCTCCTGCACGGTCAGCTCAGCCTCTCCGATCTGCTGGCTCTTCACCAAGACGCCGCTCACAGCTATGGCCTCCATCATGGCATTCACACAGCTGGACTCGCTCAGGTTTATAATCTGTATGATGAGCAGAAAGAGTAAATCAGCGAGGCGTCATAATGGCAGACCGCACCTGACACTGTGGTTGAAAAGAAAAAACAAACAAACGCTGTTGTCGCTGATTGCTTCACCTGGATGTCCTGCACCACCCGCTGTGTGTCTTCAGAGCTGCTGGAGTCACATCTCCGTCTCCGTGGCAGTATTATCTCTTCTATTTTCCTCTCGTCTTCAGTCTCACACAAGCTTGGCTGTGTTTTAACAGGAGGGTCGATCTCTCCCCACATCATTAACCGCGGTGTCACTTAGCCACCGTCTTCCCAGGAGCTAACGATGGTTCACTAAGAAAAGCTCAGCCTACTGCCAACTTCCCCTGTTTGTTTCTTTTAAACGACCAATTAGTTTTTACAATTTAATGTAAAACCTCTTGGATGAGAAAATCTCTTTCATGGAAACCTCGCGTGTTATTTTACCTTTCACTTATTTTGTATAACGTTTCATCGCAATAACGGTCCGTCACTTTTGTGTGTCCCCTTTTCTCTGTGCAACCGAAAGAATTGTTCCTCCCCCACAGCCTTTTCTTTGATATGTATATGTCGCCACCTTGTGACAGACTTTAATACTTATAATTTTTTCCAAGATAGAGAAATATTTTAGAAATAAATATTAAACATAAATTGCACATGGGTCACCTCAGGTTTCTTTTTTATTATTTTATCAATTATTGCTTACATATCATACTGTGGTGTTTAATCACTGTATAGTCTATTATTTTAAATCTATGAAATCTATGATTTCAAATAATATGTTAGGTGATATGACCAGTATTTTTCCAAATATTATCAAGGTCAGGTTGAAATGTTTTCACCTTGAGGCTCTGTGCATGGCTTTGTCTTGGTTGAAGTGCTCTTCAGCAAGACAATGAACCCTAAACTGCTTCTGTGTGCAAGGACTGTTCAGCTTTAGAGAGATAAGTGATAGGTCACAGCTGTCCTCTGTCTGAGAGCCACTCTGGAGAGTAAGAGCCTCTTCTTACTCTCCAGACTTTCAGGTGTGACTGTGAAGCATGAAAATCAAAGAAGGGAGAAAAAGAAGAGGAGGTACAGCAGGATTTGGCATTCAAGGCCAGTCTTTGAAAACAAACAAACAAACAAAGCTGCTCTTGTAATGGAAATGATGCGTCTTGTGGTCAGGGTTGGAATTACTATGTTGTATTTTTGCAAAAGTGCATTTTAGCTGTTGGATGGATTCGTGGTTTCACCTTTGCTGCAACTTCTGAGGGCTGGTAGATCTACATCTTGTTGTGGTAGAACTGAGGAACAAAATATGAATTTACTTTAACACTAAATGTGTATTATGCCATTTCTCCAACTAGTAATACTAAGTAAAATAAAATAAAATAAAATAAAGGTCGATTGCTGCTGCTATTTGGGTTAAGAGTGAACATTCTTTTTTTTTAAAATTGGTGAATGCTATGAGATAATGTTTGCAGAGTTTTTCTCTGTGTTTGGCTAAAACTTCTTGTGGAATTCATTTAAAATAAACTGTTGTATGAAGTGCACCTCCAACTTTAACCCATTGGTGGTGCTGGAGTTTTTGAGCCATGGGCATAAAACTTAGTGGAAAGTATCAGAGGGTTATCATCAACCAGATTTCAAAATATTTTAGCATGCAGTTTTCAGATCAACCATATACTTCAATGGCAGGAGAACATGAGGGAGATGATTAAAGAAAAAGAATCAGCGTGGATAATGTTTAACCCATAGTATCATCTTCTTCTCTAGCCTTGTTTTGGTGTTTCAGAGGTGTTACAGTGAGCTCACAGTAATCTGACACAGCTGTTCAAATGACTGTACTATTTAGACAGGAGTATGCTGCGGGCCCCTTTTCAAAATGGCACGTCTCCACCCGCTGGACAGCAGAAGTACTACAACTCTCATTTCTGCAAGATAGAAACAAATACGAATCTATGGTGTCTGGTTAATGAACACACACTGTTCTCTCTAGACAAGTGTTACTCTCCATCAAGTCCCATTTTTAAAGCTCTACAGCACATGTATGTGTGTGTCTGTAATCCCAGCACCTGTGATAAAGAGGTCCTGCGTATATTGATGTGGCCAGCTGGTCCTGCTATTTAAACCCATGGCAGAGAGTAAGGGAGTTTAGAGGAAAGAGAGATGTAATATCAGAGGAGGCGTGGGGGAGATATGAGGGCTGAGTGTTGACAGAGGAAAAGGGTTAAACTTAGGGGCCAAGAAAAGAGCAAATCACTTTATGAGTATTTCATTATATCGATCTGTATTTACAGCACTATAGCTGCAGGCATTATACATTAGACTGGTATGTTAGAGAAAAGTGAAAGAAATGAGGTGAAATAGACCATCCACACAACCTTAAAAAACAAATCACAAAAAATTATGTGCTGACTAAAATATGGAAAGCAAACCGGTGAGCATAAAATGATCGGAACCCAAAGTGCAGTTTTCACTGTGACAGAACTTTGTGCATCTTTCTGAGCTGTCAAAGCAAGGTCCCATTATTGTGAATAGTTTGCAAAAAAACCCTGAGCCTCTAATTCATTCTGTTTGCTTTCCATGTACACTTCAGGTTGACTGACACGTGAATCAATAGTTAATAACTGTATTTTGGTTTTGCAGTCAATTATTTCTCAGGGGGACCCAAAGGGAGAGAAAAAAAAGATACAGATAAACATGCCAAAAATGGATACCACTGAGTCAACAGCTAATTAAAATTGTAATTGCTCAGTTACTTTCTTACAGGAGACAATGGAGTCTTTATTAGGAAAGCAGAAATAAATAGAAGGCAGAAGTGGTTATGGCACAGTCATAATAACATAACAGTACCACCAGGGGGAAGAGCAGCAGTCTGGATGATGAAAATATAGAAGAGGTTGATTTATGTGCGTAGTATAGTTTAGGTTTCAAAGATAAAATAGACTAGACCTGGTTTTATTTTTTAATCCATTTAAAGAGTTTGTGTGATATGATGATGAAATATTAGACTTGAAATAAATAAACAGCATCCATCGACTAGCTACCTGGATACATATTCTTTTGTGTACTGCAGCCTTTAATTTCCTGTATTCATTCGAGGTCTGTCAGTAGTATTGAGTCAGCTTCTAAATGAACGCACAAGATGACTCATTAGATTACTGCGACCGCTTCTAGGCAATGACTTTTGACACCTGGTTTTATAATTTCCTCTTTGTGACACAGCAGAGAATCATTTTAGATATTGATGAACACATTGTGTTTGACAGTGACGGAGAGCAGAGGGGAGAAGGTGGCCCAGTAATTACAACTGCGTTGGTTGTAAGCAACGTTTGGTTTATTTATCACTTGTTTGGACTGCCGCTTTGTTATTTTATGATCTTTACCTTATAACATAAAGCGCCTTGGGGCTGCAATACTGCTCAGCATGCGGAAACAGTCATCTGAGACTATGGTAAACATAACAGAGCACTGAGCAGCTGAAGGGTTGGGTGAAAAAACAGGCCAGAAAGAAAGGAAATATCACCAGGCGACCAAAAACATATCTAAAATGAACTAACTTCTGACTATGTCACAATGTTAAATTATACCTTTGAACCATCTAATGAAAAAGGTTATCATAGTTTGCTTCCATGTGTGCAGGGCCCAATAACAAGTTATTGCAGATTTTAAAGGTCAGTGGAGTTGTGACTGTTTCCTCAACTTTTTGTTAAGAGAAATGTATTTTTCATTGTACGTGCCAGCTAAAATCCTTTTATGTACGCCTTTACATTTGCCTTTAGAGGTGATGCACACAGTACTGTGTGCCAGTTATGAGCTACCCTCATTTCTTTATATTTTGCTTCCAAGGAGCCAGACTTTCTCGTGCTTTTTCAAAGTGCTCTGTATAGTTCTCCGGGCTTTTTAAAGATCTTCTGTTGGCTGCTTTTTTCATCCATTTTTAGGCCAGCCTTGGTGCCTGACCATTTTCAAGGAAGCATAAAATAGGCCTCTAACTCAAGAGATGATCCACGGTTGTGTTTAAATGTAGCAAAGCGCCAGTTTCAAATTGTATCCTTAGGTACTTTGTATTTAGCTTCCTGTTGAACAAGAAGATCATTTGTTGCAGTTTCTTTAGTTTAATCTATAAAAAATGCAAAAGTTAAGACAGTTTGACAGGCAATTACCTTGTTGCTATTTTTCCACCAACAAGATAATTCCCAAAGTGCTATAAGCATAAGCATCTCAACACGATGTGCAGTTTGTCCTTAAAAAATTTGAGGAAACTGGACAAGTGGAGGGAAAAAGAAGGAGGAGCAGCCCTAAAAGAAAACTATCTGTAGCTGATGAACAACATCTGAAAGTCACGAAGAGGAAAAAATCTGACAAAGGACCTGACAGATGCATCTGAATGCTCTACTGATACACCTATTGTTCACTAAAGCCTCACCAGAAATGGTCTCAGTAGAAGGTTGGTTGTCAAGAAGCCATTATTATGGAAGGAAGCAGAGAGGAAAGGCTGAGGCATGCCACATTAGAGAAGAACTGGAAATCAGTGGCAACAGGTCAGATGGAGTGATGAATCAACATTTCTAATATTTGTTTCAAATATTTGTCAGTATCTACAACAGAGCTCAGCAGAGAGGTAAAACAATAAGCATCGAAAGCCATCTTTAAAAGGCAGCGGAGGCTTTGTCATGGTTTGGGGCTGCATTTCAACCAAAAGTACCATCTGATTTAGATTCACCGTGCAATACTATCTTCAAAGCATCTGATGGCAACACCGTCATTCATGACAATGATCCCAAACACCCTCGGAATGGATACCTGGATAGAAAAACACACAATGGAACACTATTGTCTGTTCCTCGACACAAAGTTTGACCACCCATGGCAATAGTGAGGTCATCATCTGGCCTCCTAAGAGCCCGGACCTCAACATTTTTGAAGCAGTGTGGGACCATCTTCAAAGACAACAGAACAAAGGCAGCCAACATCTAAAGAAGAGCTTTGAATGTCCTTCACCAGGTCTGGGGAACTATTCCTGAACACTACTTTAAGAAATTATAAGAAAGCTGCCAAAGAGAGTTCAGGCAATGCTGAAGAATAAAGGTGGTCAAACCAATTGTTGAAGAGCTTATTAGAATTGTACAGCAATGTTTTTGCCTTGTGTACTGTATTTCCATATGTGTTTGCATAGTTTTCAATAATTCACCTTCACCTATTTCCCATTTTCCCAGCTAAATATAAAAAATCAGACATGACTCAAGAGTGATGCATAGAACTGTATTTCAGCATGGAGTTTCATTACTGTCCTTCACAGCAGTCCTTCAGACAGATATCTCCCATGTTATTATGCTGGCTGAGTTGGCACAAGGATGAAGGTAACAGCTCAAAGCTTTTTAGTTGAGTGAGCTAATGTTTTGTTCCTGTCAAATGCTGTAAAGCAGCACCGGAATGGAGACTTCCATAACAGTGCTTTGTTATACAGCACTTACCAAATATACTTTCAGATCCCCACAGCAATACATTTACGACATATTGAGAATCTTCGCCAGCACAATATATCAATGTCTGATCAATTTTGAGATTTGGGAGATTTCTGGCACAACTTCAACTACAAAGTTCTTGGAGTATCGACTAAAATCTAAAGAGGTGCAATCGCCAGTGGCAATTTTAACATGTATTTAATACATTTCAGCTTGTGGGTTTCATAAAGCTCATTATAAGCTATTACAGAAAAAAAATAGGTTAAATGTAGAGTAGAAAAAACTAAATGATTAATAATAGCTGTCTGACATAATGATCACAAATGAGACATTATTGGATAATATGTTCATGTGGTTTAAAGACAGTCATGCTTCCCTGGCAATAGATGAATGAACTGGAGAAGTGCGACCTTTATGACAACCCCAATGAGGCCACAAGCTGAGGTCAGTCAAACAATAAACTTGTTCTATATACTTTTATACTTTTGCTGAAGCTTTATTCTCTTTAATTTAGCCAATTGTTGATACTTTTCACCAAACCTTATTCTTCAAATCACCCAGGCACCCTCAAATACCACTCTTACCTCTATGAGGCCCAATGGTGATTTGAAAATCTGTCACTAAAACATTCACCCTGGTTGTTCCTTTGTTTGAATGGTCAAGAACTATGACTTCTTCAAGAACTACTCTGAGATCTGTTATGTTTATTTATGTTTTTTAATCCACAGATTATCATCTGCAATTATCTGGAACAACAAGAGATAGCCCTCTGTGTGGGAGATTCACAATTCTCTTTGCTGGCTTTCATCTCAGTGTTTACAACTGATATCAGGACACGCACTTTAAAAAGTTTGACTCAGATATAAAGCAATGTAAACATATTTAGTCTTAATAATAAGTCTTAATCTTGCACTTACATTGCTTATACAGATACATTAGTGTCGAGCAGAGTTAAACAGTTTGTGCATGTAGATAGACTCTTTGTGACAGGAAACAATTGCACACACAAAACACACGAGCACATGCAGCAGAGCACGATTAGCCCTGGCAGCATTTTGGTTGGAGCCTTATCTGAAGTAATGGTGGATGAGAGTCTTGATTCATTTTCCCCTCTCCTGTCACACTGAGGAGTTCTTTGCCTGGGGACAACACTTCTCGCATAATAACACCCTCAGTATCAAGAACACACTTGGGAGTCATCCTGCATGTTTAACACAAATATGCAGATTCTCACTATATGATCTTATCATTTACAAATCCACATGCTTTATCATGTGTTTTCATCTTCAGCTTGCTCTTTGTTTTTGAAGCACAGGCAATAATATATATATATATTTTACATAATGCAAACATGACAAGTACCATCGGCTCCTTGTAATGCTAACTGACAGATGAGAATAGAGCGCTTAGTTTTTTTCACCTTGAAAGGGCTCTCTTTTAATGTCATGTCATATTAGTTGATGTCACCTGGGACAGGGCGTTAATAATGGAGATGAATGGAACTGTCAATGGAAGGGAACAGGTGTTTTATACTGACATGCAGGCACAGAGAGGAGAAGACAGTCGCGCTGAAGGAAAGTGATAAAGGCAACATGAACGGCTGCAGGCAAGTATACTGTATACACTTTAATTAGGCACTGGGAGAAAACAGATCATCTTGGGAAAGAGATACACAGCTACGTATTTTCCAAGAGGAGTGTACCACTACACTCTCCTGCTGAATGTCAAAACCACAACTGAAGACCCTTCAGTTCACTAGATGGAAATACAAAATTGGTTAAAAAATCCACTAGAAACTAGCATTTTTTGGCATATTTTGGCAGCAATATTGGAAACAATTACAATGTACTTTAACCTACTTTGATGCTCCATATTTTCTTTTTGCGGCAGTGGTCCAACAGGGCAAGCAGTGCTTGTCCAGTGAAATCCAAACCAGAAATTTCAATAAGGAGAAATTCACTGGAAAACATTGACTAGATTTGTTTAAGTACAAAGCTTTTATCATATTATATTAATATAATTATATCCTATTTGGCAACTGGACTCTATGCTGAGGTAGCAGAGCAGAGCAGAGGAGGAAGCGGGAGAAGACCTGTGCAGTCTAGATGCTTGTGGTAGTAGAAATGGAACAAGTGGAAGATTGATCTCTGATTAACACAGTGGAGATGGAGAAGAGCTGAAGAATAAGAATTGATTTTGACAGCATGGGAAAGAAGTGATTAAAAATAATAGACTAAAACCCAAATAGCTTTGGATACAGGCAGGCAAGTGCATACAGATCTTTGTTGTTGAAAGTACGCACAAGTTTATCAATTTGAAAGTTCAAGCTTGTCGAGCTGAGAGGACAGCAGCTGTTTCTGGTTGTTGCACATGTGCATTGCAGATAAATCTCTCGTGTTTGACGGGAAATTTATAGAACACTAGTGAACTAGACAAGCTACTGTTTGCTTTGGTTTCAGTGCACTGAGATCAGTTGCTATTCTTTGCAATGTGTAGAAACAGAGCCAGTGTTTGCAAGTAAATGTGTTATCATCAAAGCCTGGATGATAGAGATGGGACATCAAATGCAAATCCACTCTTCTGCATAAGTCATCACATGCCATGGCTCTGGCTGTAGCTTGAGCAAAAGCCACATAAACAGCTTGTCCTCACTAGATTTTAAAGCAGTTTATAGATGAAAAGCTGCCCTTTTCCTTCTCCTTCTCCTCCTTTTGTGATAGCTATTATAGTTTTGCATTTTTTAATTTCTATTTATTTTTATTTAATTTTACATTTTCAGTGCAGTTTAGTTTAAAGCCTAGGTTATACTCTGTTGTGGACACAGACACAGAAAGATAGACCTCTGATAGTGGAATAGTCATTCTTTTTATACTTCTTTGACATCCACTCGAGGTCTGCCGTCTGGGGACCAGGTCTAGTTGGTGCCCAAAAACAGGCAGGTGCACGAACATCCGTAAGAACCATTATGCTAACCATCTGATAATGTAATTTTTATGTCACTGGGTCCTGAGTGGGCCCTAGCAGACTCATAGACATGGAAAGCATAATCCCTGCTTAGATCATTTTTATGATTCAAAAATGTATTACATGTAATAGTCATTAGACTTTAGTTTAGTTTTTTTCAAAGTAAACATTATCTTTTAAGTGAATTTATTCGCATCATCTAAGGTGAGGGTTTGGTATCTTTCCATGATTACTTTTCGATTTTTGGTTACTTTCCTAATCCAAACTCCAAATAAACTCTGTCAAACATTGTGAGCAGAAAAAGAGGAAATAAAAGTCAGACAGCTGGACAGAAAGACAAAAAAATAAATTAAAAAAAAGCTGACAAAAAATGATGACGGGCACATGGAGTGGCAGCAGCTGTTGAGATGTTGGATGTATCACTGACACCACACTGAGCTCAGAGCAGAAGTGCAAAGTGAGAGGAATTTGGTGAGGAGAACGCGTGTGCGTGTATTTGTGTTCAGATGCGCCTGCTTGTGTCTATCAACGGCTGAGTGACTGAGTACAGCAACAGCTGTGACAGACCTCTCGAGCACAGCTTCACTGATATACGACACACATGAAGGCATGCACACGCGACTTAGTCAGTCCTGTAGCAACAGCAAATCCAGGAGACGCTCTTCTAAAGCACAGCATTGGAGTTTGTATAGTTTGCATTCATCTACTCTCTTTTTAAAAAAAAAAAAACTCTATTAAGGATTTTCTTCTACACATTCTCGCTTTTGTTTTTGCTGAATCTAATCAAGGAGTTCTTCAAAAGAAGTGGTTGGAAATGGCTGTTTTGATGAGAACAAATCTCTTTTGATCATGACTGACACCAGAAATGTTGCAGATTTCTTCTTCTTTCACTTTTCTCTACTTTGAAGGATATTCCTTCATTTCAGTCACAACAATGGTCTCCCAGAGCTTGACTCTTTAAGCGGATTGCTTTGTTTTGGGGGGATTTCAAGGCTGCAGAAATCCAGCACCTGGACTAAACTGATGTCCACCATTGGCTGTCGTTCCTATTGTGGTGTTTTTGTGGATGACTCACTCAGGGGTAATTTTCCAGTTTGCTAACGCTCGCCATGCTGGAGCACCCTCCATGTGTCCGGATTGACCCTGCCCCTTTCAGGCCTCAGCCAATCAGATGCAACATGGATAAGCCAGATATGCGTTTTGAGTTAGAGCGCCAAGCCTGTCAGAGTCTCAGACAAGGTGGGATACCTGTTTCTAGTCACGTTTCCAGTTCACAGCACATGAACATTTTTAGAGCTGCACTCACACAACACATGAGGATTTGAAAATGTGTGTAGCTCAGTTTGATTGTATTAGTAGTTCTTTTTAAGTAAAGAAATTTTGTGAAAATGTACACTGAATATTTGTAGATATTACATCAACTGTTTTAAAAATTTAGGCTTTCCCATCAAAGAATAGAGGTTTATTTTCTGGGCCGAGGTGTTAATGGGATCAAATATCCTGCTAGTGCCTTGGTTACAGTTGGGGCACAGCCAGCCTGGGCACAGCACACGTCGCCTTGAGCAGATGAACCGAGCAACCTGTTGGCTGGAGGTCCCTGGGCCTTGAATCAAAGTATCTGGACAGAGAGGAGTGTGGACCAATTTAGACAAGGACAAACTCCAAGAGGCTTTAGTTTCTTTTCATTAAAAATTTAAAGGCATGTTATGGTGCATTGCCACAGTTTCAGTTATTGAAAAATATGCAATAACTAATAAATAGCAAAATAACAGCCGCAGCTATGCCTAGCAGAGACTGCCCATGCATCCTTTCACCACATCGCTTCTCACGTTTTCCCATCAGACCGTGTGTGCACAACCTTTTAAGCTGTCCTTACACTTTATGTACTTGTGTGCGAGTTGGCAGTTTACAGTAATGTTCCTCTTAATTCACAGGGCGGTCTAGAGGGATTGGGTTTCGAGTGGTTACAGCATGGTCGGAAATAGAAAACTTGTGGGGCGGAGGAGAGAGGGGGGACACAGAGGCAGACCACAGGTTGGGGGCAGACAAGAGAGTCTGAACTGCCCACTACATTGTGTTTACCATACAGAAGACTCCTTAGGAAACAAGAAAAGACTGATGGATAAATACACACTGTAACTGACTGTCTCTCCACAACTTTGAAATAGAGGTGGTCCACAAATCCATGCACATTCAATTTAATGTAGAAAGCACTCTGAGTGAACTGTTCACACAGAAGTGAACCAGATGTGATACATCGGCTAGCCATTATCACTGTCACACATGCAAAGCGGTCAAATATGTGAAAATAATTGTATTATTGTTATATATATTTGGAGGCCCCGGGGCAGACCCAGGACACGCTGGAGAGATTATATCTCTCGGCTGGCCTGGGAACGCCTTGGTGTTCCCCCGGATAAGCTGGAGGAGGTGGCTGGGGAGAGGGAGGTCTGGGCCTCTCTGCTTAGGCTGCTGCCCCCGCGACCCGGCCTCGGATAAAGCGGATGAAGATGGATGGATGGATGGATATTTGACTACCTCCTGTACTTGTACCTCTGTGTCCTCAATGAGTGTTTTGGACACCTCATCATGCATCAATTAAGATGTGAATTGACATCATTAAACAGGTTCTGTCAGGGAGGCTGTGTGTCAGACAGGAGTTGGATCCAAGATGCAGGATTCAAAGGACAGAAAGTAAACTAAAAAGCAGCTTTAACGCTGAGCCTGAACAAAGCACACAACCATCAAAGACTAGAAACGAGGAAACCGAAGCTACAAATCTTCTAAGAAACCACACTGGCAGGGAGGACACAGCCATGAGGAAGAATGTGACAAGGGTCAAGGAAATACTGAGACAATATATATAAACACAGAGGATAACGAGGGAACAGCCAACAGGTGGGAAAACAGCTGAAACTAATTACAGGTTACAAGACAGGGGAAATAGAGCTAAATACAAAGCAGAAGAGATGTGAGACCGCCAAAATAAAACAGGAAGAAACAGTGCACGGGAACTGAAACACAGATAAGACAGAAGGCTAAACAACCACAGAGACAGACTATCTTCACAAAAATGCATGGGGAGCACAGGAGGAGTATGATTACAGAAAAAACATAGAATACAAGCAAAGTAGAACCAAGATAACAAAACTAAGACGACGTGAGGATACAAATAGTAAAAAACAAAGGAATTACAGCTATAATGAGAACCAAAACCTGGAATAACCATCTCAAACTCAGTATATCCAATAAATAAGAATTCAAAAGTCCAAACACAGAAGATACTGGGTCAAAGACCTAGGATCATGACCACTTCTGAGTTTTTCCAAGGATACCCTAGTAAGCTGTACAGGAGATCAGCCTCACTAATTTCTGATAAACGCTCAGTCTTTTTGTTCTGGAAGAAGAGGTTTGTGACAGATGAAAATAAGTTATCGCATATGAATGGTCTCGTTTTACCTACATTTTGACACCAGGCTCGTCTTCTAGCAGTGATGCCTTCTATGTAAAAACGTTTTTTTAACATGCCCACGTAACTGGCTTATGGAGTGGCTATGAAATAGAGAAATAACACTGGTGTCCATATTATGTTGCTCAAACAACTTTAAGTCATGAAGAAATTTCTTAGGCTCAGTGCAGTCTTTGCAATTTGTTGCTTCATTGCCTGTTCAGCTTGTGACAATTTTAGTTTCTGATAATGCAATTCAATTCACCAAATCAAAAACAGTCGCCTGAATGCTTTGTATTGTAAGGTAAAGACCCTACAATAAAACAGAGAAAACCTCAACAGTCAAATAACCCCCTTTGACATAGATCCGATGTTTCATTTTACTCAATGAGCACAATGGGCTCTTTTGCATGGTCAAAGTGCTGTGTGCATAAACTGTTTATGACTAGGCTAAAGCGAGACTTCCTCTTATGTAGTAGCGTTTGACCAGTGAGTGCACATTCCAAACATAGATTCTTTCTCAATACATACAGTAACATCACTTTGCAAATGTAAGTGTTTGTCAGTGTGTGTGTTTATATGTGATTACACTATGCCACCATAAGTGGAGGTTAAAATGTGCATCTGCACTGCAATGTATGTTTGCGTGCGTATGCAAATATTATGCATGCTTGTAATGAGTATCTGTGTTAGTGTTTGCTTAGTGTGGCTGCCCATGTTTCCCTGCAGGAGCCAGTTAAATCTTTCCTGCTGCCAAGGGGAGAAACTGCACCATCCATGTCAGCCAAGTCCTCATCACAGAAATCAAAGCGATTTGAATGCTTTTGTAGTCGCTCATAAGGACTATCTGTAGATTCTAATGGGCCACAGTAACACAGCATGGTCCCATTTTTTCCAACTCAGGGAAGAAAATGTAGGCCACACTCAAATTTCTGAAAACATTCAGCTTGTCCTTATTAAGTAAGACTTTTTACAGGTATAAAGACAGAAGACATGAACCTGAAAACCTGAAAATGTAAAAGGAAGACAGGAGATTTAAGAGATAGATGTGGAAGTTTGGATTCAGGTTTAGAAAAGACTTGAAATCTGTTAATATCCAAATCTTGTTCATTACAGTACATACAGTGCAAAAATCTTGACTCGCCCCTCATTTCTTTATATATTGTTTCCAGTGAATTTCTTGTCATTTTGTCATTGTTCAAGTGGTCTTTAGTAATAGTTCTATAGGTTTTCTGAAAGTCTATCAAAGTTTTTCTTTGAACATTAGCAGTGTGGGATCATTTTGACAGAGAATGGAACAAAGGCAGCCAACATCCAAAGACCTGTGAATGTCCTTCAAGAAGCCTGGAGAATTATTCATGAGGAATTCTTAAAGAAATGACAAGAAAGTTGCCTAAGACATTGTTGAAGAACAAAGGTGGTTTTACAAAATATTGACTTTCTGGCTTGTTAAAATTGTACAAACTTTTGCCTTATGTGCCATATTTCCAATTTGTACATGTTTTAGAAAAGTAGCTTAACCTAATTCCCATTTTCCTAGAAAATGGGAAGAAATGAGGGGTAGATGTTTGCATAGTACTGTATTACAATTAGTGGTTTCAGTGTTTTCTGTGCAGCATTTCATCTATTTTAACCTCTTAAGCCCCAACACCCCGGATACGGGGGCAAAAGGCAGGAGATCGCATTTGGGGTTAGGCGTTGGGGCTTAAGAGGTTAACCTGATTTCAGTTCTCTAACAAACTGGGCAATAATATGTCTATTATTTATCATATGGAAGCAATTAACTCATACCCCTAAGGTTTCGAATGTAGTTTTCTGAAATTATCGGCCCTTTGTTAGTCATTGGTGCTACTTTCGGTCATTACACAAATGTACTGTTTATAAAGTGGGGGAAACCTGCAGTCAGGTGAGACTGAAGAAGTTACTTGGATGAAAAAGGAAAAGTTTCTTCCTCTATAAACACTATGACCAGATGAACCAACTTTCTGTGACCCCCACTATTATTTGGTTAAATGTCCCTTGGCAAGTTTCACTTCGGCCAGCTTCTTTTGGTCGCCACCAAAAAGCTTCTGGCTTGAGACTGTCTGGATATTTGACCATTCCTCGTGAAGGAATTGGTAGTTGAAGTTAGTGTAAATTGGATGGTTTCTTTGCATGGACCTGGCTTTTAAAGAATAGTACATACATTTTAATAGGTTTGAACTTGGGGATTTCGGAAGCCTATTCCAGAAAATGGAATGGTCAGTCTAAATGTTAGCCTGCTTTATTCAATAATCTTTATGGTCAGACGGGACACAGTTGAATGCCCCAACAGGATAAAGATCCCAAAGATTCAGCAAAACTGGTTTTTTGGAATAGCTGAAGGGTAACATTAAGCTTCTGAAACTGGCTTCTGAAAGCTCCAACCTTAACTCTTTTGAAAATTTGTGGCCCATCATTGAAAAATAAATCTTAACCAGGAAACCAACCAATTTAAATGAACTAACAATTTTGTCAAGAAAAAGTGGTACGATGTCCAGCCCAAAGTTTATTGATGGCTACCATAGGGTTCTGGTCAAAGTGGTACATGCCGAGGGACATTTAACCAAATATTAATGGTGGTGTATGTACATTTGAGTCTATATGTATACTTTTGACCCCGTGTTGAGAAAATCCATAATAAATTCAAACTTTTTTTACCCAATTCTTGTTTTTTAACATCAGTTCCCCCCTGGAAAAAACAGTTCGAAGACAGCCCAAAATCACCTACATTTAACCAAACTGTATTTCTGTATTAGTTTATTTCTTTTACTTGTCTAAAATTGACAAAGTGCTGATCAAGCATACCCACATGGGGTCTTAGCCCATGGTGGAGGAATACTCTGATGAGGAAAGATGAGCTACAGTTTGAATGTCACTGGGGTGACAGTCAGCTTCAGCCCAGAAAGTACAGCAGTAAATTTTCACTTTATGGATATGTCCTTTCAAACCACTGATCAGACATTATGGCTCAGCACTGAGTACTGGATTTGTACTTACTGTAGAAGGTTCAATTTAAACATTTAATAGAACCTATTTAGGAAAATGAGAACAAAATGTGACCAGGCAAAAAACAAAAAGAAAGAATATTATAACACAGCTATTCTGTTGTGCATTTCCTCACTTTGTCATAAGATTTTCCCCAAAAACTATCAAAAGATGCACGCGCTTCATTTGTGTTAAAAGAAACAAGCTAAACATAAATGTTTGGCTTTGCTACATGGGAACCAAAACCTGCAGCTGAGACCAAAAGTTATTTATTAATCCCATTCAATCACCACGTCACATTGTCATATTGCCTGATCTGCTCTGAAAAGACCTGTGATTGTAGGTGAAGTTATTTCTTATTGATAGTCACAACTTATAATACGCTGTGCAACACCTCAGCCACACTTCTATGTGGCAACTGTGTGTACTAATACTGTGGATGCAGAAAGTCAGAGTGCGTGAAAAAGACCTTCACACTCAAAACATTTCCAGCTACTGCATTTTACTGCAACTCACTGCTCAGATCAAAGTGCTGATGAACAGAAAATCCTTTCCTGCCAGTCCATATTTTCATATCATCTTGAAGTTCAGCCCTCAAAATGTTTTGCAGATATAAATAAAGTTGTGTGAACAAATCAATAATTTATAAAATACAATCAAACAAGCATCAAGTTCAATCCAGGTGCTCTCAAAATGAGCAGTCTGCTGTCTTTTTTTTCTCACACTCTGTGGGATCTTGTAATGTCACGAATGTGTGACTGTGGGCTGCCATTTCATCAAAAACGTGAAACAGGAAACTGCCAGTACGTGTGTTCATGTGTGTGTCTGACTTCCCTTTGTAGTGTGTTACATAACCTTTGTGCATCCGATCATAAAAGATCACAATTTTTGTAGCAGCTAATAGTGTAGACAGAAAAGTCCTCATAGAGTAACTTGGATATATCACTGCTTCAATCTACTGCTTTCATTTTGCTCGTGGGCATTTGCTTAGTAATGTCTCTACCTTTGTGGCGTTCGGTGGGTGAGAACTGAGATAAACATGCATACACACTCAGTCTGATGATGTTTTCCATTCATTCTGCCGCTACTGACTTGCATCTTGGTGTTCAGTTCTTCAGCTGAAGTTGCAACAGAGAAGGAGCAGAGAGGAGCTCGTCAGCCAGGGGATCATGCCACGTAAGTTACAACAAAACACTTTTAAGAAATATTTTGATATGAACTGTAAAATGAAGCTGATGTAAACTCTTACAATAACCTTGTTAGTAGATACAACCAGCACATCTAGTACTGTGCCAAAGTTTTGGGTCCCACTGTATGGTTTTTTATATTTTGCTGCCAAAGAGCCAGACTTTGTTGTATTTTTTTAATTTGTCCTTTTGAAAGCTCAAAGTTTTTCTTTGGACACTGGCTGCTTTTTCACTGATTTTCAGTCCATTCCCTGTATCTCGCCATTTTCAGTAGAATGCTTTTTGCTTGTTTGTTTCTTTGTTAAGCCACTAAACACTGACTGATCAATCATTCAAGCACTTAACTTAATAGATAAACCAGAGTTGTGTCTACACATAAGGGGCAACTTATCAAAGAAGTCATTTTAACTTAAATAGACTGTTTGTTACTGGCAGCCTATCACAAGAACATCTATTTTGTTCCCATTTTTTCAGTTGAATTTATCCAAAATGTCAAACGTAGCAAATTTTGATATAAATAAAACTGAATTTCACATCAAAAAGGCAATTCTGAAAGAATTATTTGTCAGTTATTTGTCATGACATATAACAGCATGATGTACAGAGTCTGAACAGTATCTGAATGTCATCTCCTAAGAAACAGGAAAAACTCCAGTAACACAGGACCTTTAAAAATTTCTGAAATTGTCATCAACACATACTGATGAGGTCAGGAGAGAAGTACAACCATGAGTATCTACAGCCGTCTGTACAACACTCTGTCATGGTTTAGGGATGCATTTTAGTGAGTGTTGTTGTGGATCTTGTCAAAATTGATGGAATTATGTACACAGAATTATGATTCGATTTTGACTGACCATGCAACACCATCTGGAATGATGAAAAAGATGAAAAAGATCCCAAATACACTACCAATGCAGTAAAAGGATAGAAAAAGAGACTTAGACTTTGAGACTTAGAGCTTTTTATTGTCATTGTGCAGTTTCTTGCACAGCCAGATTGGGTAGCTGGACCACAAAGTAAGAAGAGAAAACAATATACAACGAGGGGAAAAAAAAAAAAAAAAAAAAAAAAAATATATATATATATATATATATATATATTTTTTTTTTTTTTTTTTTTTTTTTTTTTTTTTTTCAAATGAACCAGCTGCTAGTTAACGAGAGACACCCGGAATGGCTAACCGAAGGCCGGACGGTCCTGATCCCCAAGGACCCCAAGAAGGGACCGGTCCCCTCCAACTACCGACCAATAACCTGCCTCAGTACTACATGGAAGCTCCTGTCAGGCATCATATCGGCTAAGATGAACAGGCACATGGGTCAATACATGAGTGGGACACAGAAAGGAACTGGCAAGAATACCAGAGGCGCAAAACACCAGCTACTGGTAGACAGAACAGTCAGCCGAGACTGCAAGACCAGACTGACCAACCTGTGCACTGCCTGGATTGATTACAAGAAGGCCTATGACTCAATGCCCCACAGCTGGATACTGGAATGCCTAGAATTGTACAAGATCAATGGGACCCTAAGAGCCTTCATCAGGAACTCAATGGGGATGTGGCGTACAACACTAGAGGCCAACTCCAAGCCCATAGCACAAGTCACTATCAAGTGCGGGATCTACCAAGGAGATGCTCTGTCCCCACTGCTGTTCTGCATAGGCCTGAACCCCCTCAGTGAGATCATTAACAAGACTGGCTACGGATACCGACTACGGAACGGAGCAGTTGTCAGCCACCTCCTGTACATGGATGACATCAAGCTGTATGCCAAGAGTGAACGAGACATCGATTCACTGATCCACACTACCAGGCTATACAGCAATGACATTGGAATGTCGTTCGGACTGGAGAAGTGTAGTCGGATGGTATCAAAGAGAGGGAAGGTAGTCAGAACTGAGGGGATTGAACTACCAGAAGGCAACATTGCAGACATAGAGGACAGTTACAAGTACCTGGGGATCCCACAGGCAAATGGGAACCATGAAGAGGCCGCTAGAAAGGCTGCAACCACCAAGTACCTGCAGAGGGTCAGGCAAGTCCTGAGGAGTCAGCTGAATGGTAAGAACAAGATCCGGGCCATCAACACGTACGCCCTGCCCGTGATCAGGTACCCTGCTGGGATAATAGGCTGGCCAAAGAAGGAGATAGAAGCCACTGACATAAAGACAAGAAAGCTCCTGACCATGCATGGAGGGTTTCACCCCAAGTCCAGCACCCTGAGGCTGTACGCTAAGCGGAAGGAAGGGGGCCGGGGACTGGTGAGTGTCAGCACCACAGTCCAGGATGAGACAACGAACATCCAAGAATACATTGGGAAGATGGCCCCAACTGACCGAGTGCTCAGTGAATACCTCAGGCAGCAAAAACCCAAGAAAGAGGAGGGAGACGAGGAACCATCATGGAAGGACAGGCCCCTGCACGGTATGTACCACCGGCAGATAGAGGAGGTGGCTGATATCCAGAAATCCTACCAGTGGCTGGACAAAGCTGGACTGAAAGACAGCACAGAGGCACTAATCATGGCAGCACAAGAACAAGCTCTGAGTACAAGATCCATAGAGGCTGGGGTCTATCACACCAGGCAAGACCCCAGGTGCAGGCTGTGTAAAGATGCCCCAGAGACAATCCAGCACATAACAGCAGGGTGCAAGATGCTAGCAGGCAAGGCATACATGGAACGCCATAACCAAGTGGCCGGCATAGTGTACAGGAACATCTGTGCCGAGTATAACCTGGAAGTCCCGAGGTCAAAATGGGAGATGCCCCCAAGGGTGGTGGAGAATGACCGAGCTAAGATCCTGTGGGACTTCCAGATACAGATGGACAAAATGGTGGTGGCTAACCAACCGGACATAGTGGTGGTAGACAAACAGAAGAAGACGGCCGTAGTGATCGATGTAGCGGTTCCGAATGACAGCAATATCAGGAAGAAGGAACACGAGAAGCTGGAGAAATACCAAGGGCTCAGAGAAGAGCTCGAGAGGATGTGGAGGGTGAAGGTAACGGTGGCCCCCGTGGTAATCGGAACACTAGGTGCGGTGACTCCCAAGCTAGGCGAGTGGCTCCAGCAGATCCCGGGAATAACATCGGAGATCTCTGTCCAGAAGAGCGCAGTCCTGGGAACAGCTAAGATACTGCGCAGGACCCTCAAGCTCCCAGGCCTCTGGTAGAGGACCCGAGCTTGAAGGATAAACCGCCCGCAGGGGCGTGCTGGGTGTTTTTTAATATATATATATGAGTGAAAAACACACAGTGGAATACTATCAGTCATGGATTGGCCTCCCCTGGACCTCAACATTATTGAAGCACTGTGGGGTCTTCTTGACAGAGATCAGCACAAACAGCAGACACATCCAAAGCTTTGAAGCCTGGAGAACTATTCCTGAAGGCTACTTAAAGAAATGACAAGAAAGCTGCCTAAGACAGTTCAGACTGAAGACTAAAGGTGGTCATACCAAATATTGACTTTCAAGCTTTTTAGAATTGCACAAACTCTATTTTACCTTATTGCCCACTTTATTTCCATGCATGTGTGCATGTTTCAGTAAATTGCTGCGCCTCTTTGCCATTTCCCTATCAAAATATAAAGAAGTGATTCAAGACTTCTGCATGGCATTACACTCATTTATTCATTGGTCCATTAGATTCACTAAAGGTGTGACATAGCATTTAAGCGTGTAGCAGATATTATTTTATCTGAAAGGTCATTTATAAAATTTTTTGAAAAAATGGGATTTAAATTTTTGTTAAAAAATTAATTAATGGCAAATCACGAAAAAGAAAGAAAATTATATGTGTATCTTGCTACAAAAGAAGGACTAGTTTTGTCTATAAGATGACGCAAAATGAATCAGAATCCAATTATCTTTATTAAGTGGAGTCCCTGTGGTGTCAGGAGAAAAGGTTTTAATATAATTACAAAAGAATAGTATAAAAAAGAGGAATAAAATAGTCTTTCAGTTATAATGGAAAGAATCTTATTGCACATAAACACTATTGCACAGGATGTTACAGGCTGTCATCCATTGGACCGTATTCGTCAGGTTGTATTGGAAGTGATTACTTGTAATTCAAAGCCCTAACAACTATAGGGGAGAACTGCACTGTTCTAAAAATAGTAATGTCAAAGTATCTTACTGTATATTTTACAGTTTTGTACTGTCTTTCTAGAATATCATTAAATTTACATAAGTAGACTGTGATTTTACATGTCAAAGGTAAAATAACATAACATCACTGTAAATATAGTAAAACACAATTTACTTGTTTTTTAAATATACTTTTTTGTACATATGCATATTTAGATTGTAAAAATACATTCACAAATGTATCATGATTTCACAAATATCTGTCGGTTATTTGAAAGATTGAACTGTTGAATTCAAATGTAATGCTATGGAAAAGTATATAACATGATCCCTATAAGCTTGTGTTACATCACATAAGTATTATTATCATTGCTATTTAGGGCGATCATAGCTCAAGAGTTGGCAGTTTGCCTTGTGATCAGAAGGTTGCCGGTTCGAGCCCCGGCTCGGACACTCTCGGTATTGTGTCCGTGGTCAAGACTCTTCACCTACTGGTGATGGGCTGATGGTGCGATATGGCAGCCTCGGCTCTGTCAGTCTGTCCCAAGGCATGCAATCCATTATTATTTAAACCAACTGTTAACTGTATATTTCTGTACATTTACGTATTATGATTCATATTGCCACATTCATTGACCTTATTTATAGGTAATTTCATTGTTTGATCACGTTAAGATGTTCCTAATTTAATGTCTAAAAGCACTTGGAAAAGGCAGAATGCCATGTAAAATTAGCACAACAAACTGTATTGTCATTACTGAAAATAACCGTATTTTTATGAGGAAGTTATTTTCTGTTATGTTACGGTAGTATTTTGGCGCCCCAGCTGCCGGAATATTACCGTTTTTTAAAGATGTTTTTTTTAACAGTGTGACTATTGCTGATGGCAGCAGTTTGTAGAGATTATGAGCAGGGTGTGGGGAGTCTTTTATGATATTTCCTGCTTTCCTGAGACAACGAGAGCAGTGCAGTTCATCTAGAGGGGGTAAAAAACAGAAAGTGATCCCTTGGGCCATCTTTACAATCACACACAGAGGCGGTAGCATAGGATGCTCTCTATTGAACAATGATAGAAGGACACCAGCAGCTTTTGAGGGATGTTGTTTTCCCTGAGGATTCTCAGGAAATAAAGTCTCTCCTGAGCATCTTTCCCAGCTCCACTGTGTTCACACCCCAGAACAGGTCATCCTAGATGTGAACTCCCATGAAGCGGAAGTCTGGCACCATCTCCACCCCATCCCCATTGACGTAAAGTGGTTTAATGTCCATAAAATCCACAACAGTCTTCTTCGTCTTGGTTGTGTTCAGCAGCAGGTTGTTGTCCCTGCACCACGCTGTCAGTCGCTCCACTTTGTCCCTGTAGGCAGACTCATCCCCCCCATATGTTATAAAAAGCTTGTGCCATGTGTTGCAGTTTGCTTCTTTTTCAAATGCTTACGTTTGAGGATTGCATATAGGCTCATACAAAATAACATGAAAGCAGCACAAGAAAATTTAACATATAAATCAAGTAACACGCAACATTGAACAGAGAAAGATGCATTTCAGCATAACAGCTACATTAGTTGATGCAAGTTAGTAATGAAATGAAAACAGAAGCATCTGAGTGCAGTCCGCCGTGCCATTTTAGGTTTATTCTAAAGAGATTTGGATTGCAGTTAAAAGGTGTCATTGTCTCCTTTCAATCTTTACAGTGAGTTACTCAAGATCATACTGCAGCTGCCATCATGCATATCCGTAGCTGCTTCTTATCAGATTGTGATAGTTCCCCATCTGCCATCCAAGTTAGCTGCTACTTTTGGCTCAGTTTTTAAAAAAGGCACTTTTTTTCTGTTTGGTTTATAGAGTCTTAATTATCCTGTTAAATGGACAATTTCCATTTAATGCTACTTTAGGGAGCATAATATGTTGTTCAGTGCATGCATTAATATAAGTATGTAATGCACAAAGTTCTGAATGCTTTACAAACTGGTACTATTAATGGTGGTTTTTTTATGCTCAGTGTGGCTAACTTTAGCTTTCCCCACATTTTATTTTCTTCAGAAAATGAGGCTCAGTCTTCCTCTGACAATGCTTCTCACAGTAGGTCTATAAGCAGTCTGACACAGGAAGTGTCAGAAGAGACAGTGTGTTTTATCTGCTAATGATTCTAATATTTACCTGCTCATGTGGTAGATGTTTAAACTGGGAGCCTGAACACTATTCATATGGACTCTGTATGCAAGCGCTTTACTGCTGCTGAATGTATTCGCCATCACAAATATGCATTTACTATTTTCCCTCGCTATAGGTAGCATTTATAATACAATAATGTCATCTTATCTTTGTGGGCAGACAAACAACAACTCTAAAATGGAATTATGTAAATGTTATCTTTGTTAACATGCTGGTACTGTTAAGTTTCCATTTTATTTATTGACAGCATTTCGTGCGCACCACGCTCGTCGTGGTCATGTTAGGTGTGACCACAGGAGTCATCACAGTTCTTATCTGCTTCCACTTTCCTGCCGAATGTTTGAAAAAAAAAAAAAAAACTGACATGGAGATCAAAGATGAATGTTATGTGCATATGTTTTAATTCAGTTATCCCATGCCTCTCTTTGCTTCTTAACAAAAGGTGTGTAGCTTTGTTAGTTTTCTGCAGAAGTATTCAGGAACGTTGCAGTTGAGCCAGGGTAGGGTGCACAAAATCAACTACCGGTAGTTCTTTGTTTGAGAAAGCACCTGAAAGTTAGTTTTGTCACGTAAAAGCTGTATTGCAGCGCCCCTGAACTCTGTGGTGTGCTTGCTGTTGTCATGTTCTAATTGACTAGATTTATGTGGTGCCTGGGAACAACCTTTAAGAGAAAAAGAAACTCATAAGTCAGCCATGTTTTGCAATAATGAGCATGCAAAACGGCATTGCATCTGCTTAATATGTTGTGGTTACATATTTCATTTATTGTTCCTACATGTTAGTGACTTCATGACCGCAAGATGAGTATATATACAGAGCCAGTACAACAGACCAGTCTTTCTCCCTGGACCATTCGGCCCAGTATGCACTGCACTTCGCTTTAAGCCTCTTTCTAACCTTAGTAAGGTAAAAACCATGCTACAGCCATGTTGTTCTTGTGGGGAAACTTGACACAGCACTCAGTGTGATACCTCACCTAGTTTGTAATTTTTACACTTCTTAGAAAAAACACTAAAAATAGTTTGTGAGTTCACACTAACCTGCATGTGATCAGGCTGAGTTAAACAAAGGAGACGGGGACCTTTTTTATTTCTAAAGAATTGTTAACACAGTTGATATAATGAGCAAAAACACAAGAAAGAGACTGAAAGCATTAATTAGTAAACCTGCCCTAGTTGCATGGAATTGCAATATTTACTTTTGCAGATGCTCCTCCACAGATTATGAGCTCTGTAAATATCTGAGTATTGCATGTATACTTGGTGCAGTATTTGCAAATGTATCACACTTTACACAGCTGACCTGCAGGACAGCTAAAGACATTAAAGAGGAAGTGCTAGACAGCAGGAGACTGAACAGTTGCTGTCAGAGGAAGTGATGTTGTTCAGTGTTAAAATGTTTAAAGATTGTTGCTTAGCTCTAGCAGGGTGGTAAGGAACCACTCGTGCACATAATGGGGTCTTTTCTCTCTGACCCCATCTCAGCACTCTCTGTTTCCTCCTTGTCTTTTGCCCTTTGGTCTGTTGTTCCATTTTTCTTCCAGCTGCCTCCTCTCATTTGTCATCTCTCCCCATCTCCTCTACATCTTTTTCATGATTCTTCATCTTCCTTAAATCTATTTTATCCTCTTCACTTTCACTCACACTTTTAACCCCTCTCTCCCCCCGTGTGCTCATCCAGCCATCCTTCCCTCAATCCCATCACTCATTTTCAGTGTAGCTGACTGACAGGCAGGTTTATACACCCTCAAGGTGGACACATAACCTCCTTGTGGATGGGTGAGAGGTCTAAGAGGGCTCTCCAGGGTGTGTGAGAGTGAGTGTGTACCGGCAGTGTGACAGTGCTCAGTGACGTGAACTGAGGCTTAGGTACCAGCAGTTCTGCCCCGGGTTTGATAATGCAGCCATACTGTGTGTGTGTGTGAAGTACAGTACAGTAAGACATTTTTTTTGTTGTCCTAGCTTTGCCGCATGAGATTTGAAACTATATTGTGACTAGAAAATGACATGCAGCCCTCATCGTAGATACTGACAACTTCATACTTGGTTTAAGACACAAGTGATGTAAACACATTGGGCTAAAGTTGAGTCTAAGACTTTGAGTGCAAAAAACTCCAGTGTCCTCACATACATGTAGTATGGATATGGGGACACTATATAATAAATGTGCTGCCTGTATGGTGGCCCTGAGAGGTCAAACACACTGCAACTTAAAAAAAAAACAACCCACCAGCAAATAGAAATATTTTACTGAGTGCATCTTTTTGTGAACCAGATAAGATGGCATGTAGTCCTACACAGTACTGTGATAGATTGAATTCTGGATAAATTGCAATCACTAGCAGTGAAGCTCCCCCAACACCATCACCCACCAATCCATGCTTGATGGTATCTTCACATGGAAAGATCACAGACTGAATCATTAATCATACATTTTGGATCAAAGTCCAAATTTTCAAGTCAGTGCAAGACATGTGACTACTCGGTCATCCACAGTGGTGTTTTTCTTTACAGCAATTTAAACACCAAGACCTAAATTTACTGACAGTTAATGTGAGAGTCCGATTGCCAAGAACATGACCAAACTAGAGTAATGGTGTCAGTGTTGAATCTAATAGTGTGGGGAAGAGGAAGTGATGTAAAGCATAAACTAGCAGCCTGAACATCCAGGAAAACAGGAAGATTAGTGGTTACAGATCTTCCTCGTTGAGCTTTAACATAAGCTTTACTTGGCCAATTTGGAAATTTGACACCTGGACCATTGTATTTAAAGAGAAGGTAAAATAATAACTGTGCCACTTGGAGGAATTTTACAGACAGTTTCCAAAAACAAAGTCAGATTTTGGTTATTTTTGAAACACATTAGAGTTGGCTGGTTTTGCAGGTATTGTCAAATACATTACCAAATGTATCTGGAAATCCGCTTGTTCTTAAAAGTTTGAAACATTTATTAAAATGTTTAAACAAAATTCTTTGTCTGCTGCTAAATAATTTGGTTCTCACATGTAGAATATTTATTAGGTCAAGATTTAGATCCTCTTTTTTGTCTTAGACTGCTTAGAAGCAAAGCTATATTGTAATGGTTGAGCTGTTGCATTTAACTCAGTATCACGGTGTCATGATTACCTCGAAGGTTTCCATTACCACTAATCCTGAGGCTTTGCATAATCACAAACCTGCACAAGTCCTACTTAAGTCATCTTTGAATGCTGAACAGTTTCCAGGAAATCCACTGCTGTAGAGAAGCTCATTGGATCGAAGCAGTCAGACTTCATCCCTTTACATTTCTTCTTTGACTTTGTGATTTTTTTAAGCTTTTTACAGCAGCTGTTGTTGGGGACCAGTATCCCAGCCATCATTGTACTTTATGCACTACATTGAACTGGTACTCAGGAAAAAGCTTTGGCTGAGACCATCAATAGACTTGAAATTGAACTAAAGAGGCAAAGATCTTTTGCTCTTTTGCTAACCCCCACTAGCATCAATACACTTTTACTCTTTTTGCCTGATTTTTTTTTTCTTTACTATGCTCTCTCTTTTTATCCTCTTAGCACTGAAAACTTCAGCTGCCTTCCACGAACAGAGAAAGAGCTTGGAACGGGCTCGGGTGAGTATGCCATCCTCAAATCAGTCACTGATGTCAAAACTGATGCAATTTAAGCTTTGAGAGTTTTTAAAACACGTGGCATCATTACAGAAGCATTCTGATTTGTCTTTTCCTGCTTTAATGTAAGCCAAAAAAAGAGTTGGGATAAGACCATTGGCTCAGACAAATAGACTTGTATAGAGTAATGCGAAACTATCCACCAAATCAGTGCTTGCCCCAAGGGCAACATCATCAGCAGTTGTGAGTGAGTACGTGGGAAGATGGATGAGTAGGTTAAAGTAATTCTCCATTAGTAACTAGCTAAAATGATTAGATAAACACAGGCCCTTTAGTTAGCTTAGGAAGCACGGTCTACATTGTTAAGAGAGGGGTTTGTGGAACTACACCTAAAGAAGGAGAGGAACCACAATGTTTAACAGTGCACAATAAAGGATTTGTGAGTGCAAAACTGAGAGATTTTCCATTCCTTCTTCTTCATCTTGTCTCTTGGTCTCTCTCCAGACGGAAGACTATCTCAAGAGAAAGATCAGGAGTCGACCAGAGAAATCTGAACTGATCAGGATGCACATCTTGGAGGGTAAACACTACACAGAGCCTCATACCTCTGGAACTTTGGTCAATCTAATGGAAAAAGACCCATTACATCCATGCACACTCGTAAAGAATTTCCATGCCTGGTTTGTGTGTCTATGCAGAGCCGTTCCTTCCGGTCAAGCAGCTGAAGAAAGCATGCCTCGCTGTTGATTTGAATGATAAGATTGCCCAGAGGCCAGGGCCCATGGAGTTGATCCATAAAAACATTCTACCCGTTCACTCCAGTATTAAACAAGCCTTCATAGGTAAGTGAGAACTATTTTTAGGCAACAGTTTCAGGATTACTTCTGCTGAGTGGAGGAAATTATTAGCTTAAATGTTATAAGTGCAGAGTTATTTATGGTTGATTGCAATAAGCTGACCGCAGAGAAAAAACCCACAAACAAAGCGTTGAGACCAGATATAATGATCTTAAGCAGATAGATGCAGTTATTGCGGACAACTTGTGTAAGCCTTTCAAGAGCTTATCTGTAAGTCTCTATTTTCCAGCCATCAGTACACAAACCAATACCAATGTTTCTTCACACAGTCTCGATATGTAGGGCTGTTGCACAATAACACATTAGTCATGACAACTTTAGAAGGCCTTACTTTGCAAATTTTGTTTTATTATTTCTGCCCCCTCAACAATCAACAGGTGTACCATTGCTATATAATTTCCTGCGCACAGTCTGTGTGGAAGAAGGACGTGTGATATAGATTTTCATCAAAACACACCCACACTGTGAGGCTCCTGACAGGACATCCCTCCTGGCCCCTTCCTCCACCTATCATAAACGTACTGTTTCCTCCCAGATCCCAGATGCTTCAGTTGTCCTCACCACATACTCACACAGGCATCCATACCTGTCAACAAGAACCACCTAACATACAAATTTTTCACAAACAGCGCACTGACAGGCAAACACTTCAATTGATCAATTCTATGAGTTTGGAAAGGTTGGAGGGGGGTAATTGTAAATGATGCATGACCTCTGATTCCCATTTTAACAGACAAGAGACGAAGATACTGCTTCCTTCTCTGTTCTCTGTTGGTTTTAAACAATCACAGTGCCTGTTAATAGAGAATCACTTGCTAATTGAAGAGGTGACATTTTAAAATAATGGGGACCTATTAAGCTTAATTCAATTGCATATTAATATTTTCAGAATAGATCACTAAAAAAATAATCCTTAGTTGTTTCACACTGGCCCTTAATGGAGCTTCCTCCGTTCATCTATAGTCTGAAATGAGCGCTTTTAGCTCTTTTCCAGTAATTTTTTGAGGTAATTTAATAGAAAAAAAGAATGCTGTTTTCATAAATATACATTGATTAGTGCGCAACTACATCTTCCAACAAATAGATGCATTGTCATAAACTTAGAATCAACCCATTAAAAATACACAGCAACGAACGCAAATTTTGATTTGTGTCTTTAGCTATGTTAGCTATATTTTATCATCTGAAAAGTAACACATGAAAACGTCCATAAACATGCTTTTTTATTCTAATATTGTTGCAATTACTTATTGTCAGCAGATCAGATATACCACCCTTCCATCTCTGGACAGCTGACAATGAGGCAACTAAACAACACAGTTAGCTGGTTATATGCTAATGTTGTGTCAACTAATGTGAGACTCGAGTGTCTTAACAGTCACATTTCCCCTCTGACAAACAGTTTGATAACTTTCTCACATCATATGAGAGTTTTTGAGACCAACAATGTTAGATCCACTTCAACAAAAGTTTCACTTGTGCAGGCAAAAATAGCAGTGCTTACTGACATAAAAGGATATCCTCAGCAAAAGAAGTGACTTTCACTTACTCATTGACTCGTGTTCAACTCCTTTCACAAAGTTTTACAGTCTCCTCCAGAGTAAATAGACTTGAAAACTTCTCATCTGGCATTCTGTAGCTATCAAAGACTGATAGCTACAGAAGGTGTAAATGCAATGTTTTGATCTTTCTTGGCTATCTTGAACATGTTTGTCCAACAATGCCACGGTGGCTAGGATTATGAACTTAAATTAGGAGAATTAAGAAAACAGAGTTCAGTTGACTGCAGTCTACTGATATATAGCAGTGAAATTTTACCCACCAAGGTCATTTTCTATATGTTTGGTTGCCCATTGTAGTCAAGAGATTTGCGCAGCAGGTGGATTTGAATTCTGTGTTTGAGTTGGCCATATCAAGTACATCTGCTCCAGCCCGTTCTCACTCCCGACGCGTGATATACCGATGATTTTTCACGTCCCGAGGCGTTCTATGGTGACCTTCCGCCTTCCTATGCTACACGGCGGATTATGGATGAAATTGAATAGAGGGAAGCTCCCGTGGTAACACGTGTTCCAGCCCTGTATTCCAGCCCTCCGTGTTTTCAAAGCGATTTAAGTAAAATAAACGTACATGTGTAGATTTATTCCAAACGGTTCTCATGTTTCCTCGTTTTTCAGAACTCGTAATATAGGGACCTTTTGGGTGGCCAAAAGCGTAATATGATTTGTCACCTAGCCTTAATTGTTATACTTTGGGAGTGAGAATGTGTTGTCTGCTCTCACTGGCATCATACAGCTCCAAGAATAAAAGACACTTCCTGAAATAAGGATGAGGATCGTCTAGTGGGATTTTTATATAGAACACTTTTTTTTTCTTTGTACTGTGGGAGCAAGGAATCAGTGGGTCCAGCTGCTTGATTGATGTGTAGAGGAAGAAGGTTGAGATTTAATAACAGACTGTGTCAGTGGAATATCCATCTCTGTCACTGCTACACAATAAACACAATTACATTACCGCCACTTTTGGTAGGAGCACCAGGAACTAGCTAGATGAGGTTGACATATGAGCATACAAAGCATGATGCACTCCCACACCCACACACAGCACAGCTGTAAGCGAGTCATTGCATTATTAAATCAGCCCCGTGTTGTCTTTTCATCATTACCTGCTGATGGTAAATTAATGGACAGCAGTGTGTTCTAAATAGCAGTGGGCTACTGCCCGTTAGCACCTCCTGTAATTTAATAACTCAGTTCTATTATTAAAAAAAATGGCTCTACAGCAGTCCTGGGGATCCTAGCGGGTACTTTTATTCCTTAAATCCCTGTGAAGACTCATAAGTCTGCATAATAATGAAATGATTATATGATATGGCACATGGGAAAGCTGGCAGGCTTGGATTAAAGCTATGCTGTAAGATGTCTTAACCTTCCTGTGGCTGGCTAATAAGGAAACTTTGGGCATGTGGTTGACAATTTTCTTTGCAGTTTTTTACATTGCTGTATCTGATTTACTATTATATCACGCTCAGCTGCATTTATCTGTTGCATACGAAACATATTTTAAAGATATTTTAAAGAGAATATTATTAGTATAGCAGGCATAAACAGGGGAAGCCGTCACATAAACAGTTTAAATATTCATCGCATAAATTACACAGACGATCCTTCAGAATCCTCAGCACAACGTCATCCTTAGAGAGACGCCATCTGTTACATAAAAACTGTTATAAAAGCCTTGTTTGGCTGTGTGGGAAATGAACATAGATGAATGAAAAGCAAAATGCTTGACAAAAACCTGACTCATCACAAGTGCATCTAGGACTGGCTCTGGTGGACATGATATGACTACAGAAAAGTGTTTAAGTAGTTTAGACAGCTCTCTCGCTCTCTGTGTCAGTTGTTGACGAGACACTGGGGACGAGTGTCTTGTGTGCATTTTTGTAGGATATTGAACATTAACAAATGCAAGCCTTTGATGAGTCACCGATACTTGTGGAGGAGGCACCGGTGATAATTTGTCTGGATTGGAGGTGCCCACAAGGTGTTAGAGTCACAAGCAGAAGTCCAATGGCTCAGCTCCTGTTAATGCAAGTGATAGTGTTACACAGGCACACAGACTTGGGCAAGGACCTAGAATCACTGGGTAGTACATTTATTTTATGGTCTAATTTAACTAGATAATGTTTATTTCCTTCCCTCGTCTCCCCCACAATGCTTCTCCTCTCAGAGACGCAGTTTCAAAGAGCCTCAGGAGAGAACTCTTCATTTGATGAGGACACTAATGACAGTCTGTCTCCAGAGCAGTCCACATCTGTCAGTGAGGAGGGTTGTTCGTTGGGCCTGGGACCTCTGCCCACTCCAAAGGAAACACTGACAGGCCATGGCATCCCGTCTCCTACACAGGTAGGATCACCGCAGAGAGTGGGACTAAGATGCTGTGCAGAATGTATGCAAGACTGTAAATCCACAGCTTAAAAGCAATGTAGAGGCTGTGAATTAGTGCATTTGTCTGTGTATATGTGACGTGCATCAGATTTACCACTGGTGGTGGTGTAGCACAGTGTGGGTAGGGTTGCCAACCGTCCCTTAAAAAACGGAATCGTCCCGTATTTCGAAACAAAAGTGCACGTCCCGTATTGAGCTAATAAGGGACGCACTTTGTCCCGTAATACAGTGAGAATCAAAAGTAGTCTATAAATGTTTATGGAATTAACACTTTGTTTGAAAACATAATTCCCAGACCCTCTCCTGCTTTGTGACCAATGAGCTGACACCACACTTATGACAATTCGAGTATAACAATTCAGATTACCGCTCATCTCATTGGTCGAGGAAAGGTCGCTTACAGAGAAAATACCGGAAGACAACAGATGACCACAACAAGAAGCATGGCCAACAGGGAAACAAACGCCGACACTGCGGTGCAAGTCTCGGACGACAGTACACCTAAAGCTGGGCAGACACTGTGTGATTTTTTTCAGTCGCGTTATTCAGCTCCTGCTCAAACTGCACAATTGACTCGCAGGGGTTAGAAGTTGGTAGGTCACGATGCAGGTCTCACACTATACGGCCCGATGCTCTGATGAGACCTGAGTGCGCACACTGTGCCTCCATAACATGAAGGTTATAACAGAAAATCTGTCGCTCGCTCTCTCTGTCTTTCACTCACACAGACACACCACCACCATCAACTTTGCTAAATTGCTAATGAAAAACATTGATCAGGCAGCTGTGACTGAGCAGCAGTGTCGATCCAACTATTTTCACGGTTGTTGTGGTCGTGATCATTTTGTGATGCCACATCGAAAAGGCTCGGATGAGCTTTCCAAAGTTCTACAAGTTGTGCCTCCATCGCTTGTGTCCAGATCACACGCTGCACAGCCGTGCTGCTCCGTCTTTTTCACCAACGTTTACGTGTTTGCGCGTGAGCAGTGTGAGCGCCTGTGGTGACACCCTCACGAGCGATTGATGATCGGGAGCTGGTCGTGAGGTGTTAATCACTTCTCGTTACCCCACGTATACTACACGACGCACGATGAAGGCCAAAATCGGTCCGATCACTCAAAAATCGTCTCAAAATGGGCCTAAAACCGCACAGTGTGAGCCCAGCGTTACAGCAGCAATGTTTGTTCCCCTCAGAGAAAGGGAAGAATGGGAAAAGGAAAACACCTGGCTGGAAAAAGTTAATATGGGCATGTGCAGTGAATATCAGCGCTATGTGGCCAGAAGTGTGATAATATAACTTATTTTGTGTAATAAACAACTGCAAGGATAGATGATTACAACAAATTGATGACTAATACATAAAAGTAATACATAGATGAATAATGATGATGAGTTATGATGCGTAATCATGGGAACAAGCGGGTTTACAAACAGGAGCAGCTGATTAGCATTAGAAAAGCTGAAATAATACCTCAGCTGAAGCCAATTGTACTAAATGCACTAAATGTGCACTGTTACAAGAATATTTTCTTTCTATTGTTTTCTATTATTTTAAGTTAAGCAGGACAGAGTTCTTTTAAAGAAAGATTTACTTATATTCTCAAAAGTTAAGCATGACAGGCTTCTGTTTAAGAAAGAGACCTGTTTTACTGTGTTAATGTTGTCATTTTGAGCTAAAAATAAATGGCTAAATGATAATTTGTTTCACATGTGTTCATATCACAAAGAATACACATCTACTTAAATCAAATTCAAGTCAAATGGTTAAAAAAATAATTTCACACACAAAAAAAGAGCTAGAAAATTCACCACACTGGGAAGGGTGAAGACAACTGGGTCGCCCGGCCCTGGCCACGAGGTGTCCCTTATTTATTTTTCAGGGAGTTGGCAACCCTAAGTGTGGGAGAGTTTATAGTGGGTGCAGTTGTCACAGAGGGGATAACCAGGCTTTGGTGAGGGGAAAATAACAACATTTTGAGCACCCACTCACTCACACACTAGCAAGTTTAGCATTTCGCTACATCAACCATCTGATGCACGGAAAAGTACTGTTTTGTATCATTTAATTACTGAATAAAAAGCAGTGAAAACTACCTGGAGATTTATTTACTGAATAAATTAAAATCCAGTTCTTCCCTCATTGAAGTGCATCAACAACAGTACTTCCAAACCAAGCTAAGAGGCTATAGTCGTGTTACATACACTACTGGAACTTTAACATTATGCACTCCATACTGTACAGTAACGCCACTGTTTTGCACATGTCTCACTCTGTATATTTTATTTTATATATTTTATTTATTGTGTACTCTATTTAATTTGTAAAATATGTGTACACACACACACACACACACACACACATAGAAAAATATTTAGTATAAACATCCAGAAATGCATATACTATTATATATACTGTACATATATTTATTAGTTTCAGATGTAGCCATTCTTGTATTTTGCTTGTTTACATTATTGTATTTTGCACAACTCTGTTGCTTGTGAAGCTCGCACACAAGAATTTCACTCACATGTGCTGTACCAATGTACCTGCACATGTGATGTGACAATAAAAGTGATTTGATTTTGATTTGATTTGATACTGCAGATTTTTGGTTTTGATCCCATACCAAGTAAATACATGACCAATGTTGCTAATGCCAGTACCGATACAGATACTTCCAACTTACAAAGGCAGCTTACGTAGGGGAGAGCGGTATGTAATGACTCACTGGATTGTAAATGTTCCTGCCTCTAAAGCACTTTGGATCTTCTGCTGTTTAAATGAGCTATAAATAATATACTTGTGACAGTCAACATATAGTTGTAGTGCATGTTTGAAGTTTATTTTTTCAGCTTCCAAAAAATAATGATTTAGCAAACACAGTTTAGTGGGTTAGAGCTTAGAGGACAGAAACAAAATATCCATCCAATACCAGTGTCGGTATCGAGAGTATTTATATTTGGATCGATCCACCAGCCTCTAAGTAACAGCAGTGGATGCAGCGACTCCAGACATCTATGAGATGAGTTTGATTGTCGTATGGACATTTGCCATGCATCTGGAGGGGGGACAAATTGAGCATTTGTGAACATTGTGCGTTTTGTATGTAAACCTTTTCTGCTATGTAATTTTACATTTACCACAATCTTCGATGTTCACTACTTTAAAAAAATGAAGACCTTTTCAAATGGGATGATTCTTTTTGATGCCTTGCAGTTTAGCCATGAATGATCAGCCAGTGTTTCCATCCAACCAATCAGGTCCCACCTACAGCTCCTTCTGGGTCACCCATTTCACTCAAGCTGACCAATGAGACAGGGGCGTCATCTCTCCTGAGGACAGGTGCCAACAAGGTAACATCTGTCAGTTCAGCTCTGTTAGTTGTTAGACACGCATACATTAGACTGGACCGCTTCAGTCCTGTCACAATGACGACTAAATTATGAGCTTTCGTAAATGATTATTTTAGCTGTTAGTGCTAATTGCTAAAATTATTATTGACAGCTGTTCAGAACTGCAGATGATGAAGTGAACTCTGGTGGTAACAGGAAATCTCGCATGTGTTGTGGGTTTCTCATTTTGCTTCCATGAGGGAAGCAAAAAATGTGGTTTAAAGTTTCATTTTACTCTCATTAAAATTACTCATCTTTTTTTTTTTTTTTTTTAGCCACAACCCAAACCAAACTGTGACCGCTCTGGCCTGAGACACAAGAAAACCAAGGACAAACCAAAGGTAGAAACTTCTCCTTCTCTGAGGAAACTATTCTAATGCTGGCATTCCAAATACCCAGTGTAGCTACAGCTAAGAGAAGGCAAATATTTGTCTGAAATGCTGTACTGCAGTGCTGAAATAATGACTTGCTGTTAATGGGGGTGCTTTCCAGATAAAAAAGCTAAAGTACCATCAGTACATCCCTCCTGATCAGAAGGGAGATAAAGAGCCTCCTCCTCATCTGGATTCATCCTATGCCAAGATCCTCCAGCAGCAGCAGCTCTTCTTGCAGCTCCAGATCCTCAGTCAGCAGCAGCAGCGCTACCACACCATCCTCCCTGCACCAACTAAGTAAGTCCAGATGCATGCTCTTCTGTGGAGTCTGAAGGATTGCACGTTCAAAGGCTGGAAGGAACATTGGACATAAACTTCTGTTTTCAGAACTCAAGAGCACCTGTTAAGATTTACTTTTGTGTCACTGTATTTTTGCCCAGCAGATCCCAGACAGCTCAGCAGCCATCTTCCTCCTCTAAGTCTATGCACACCTCCTCCTCCCCACCTCGACCTGCTGGTGCACCTTTAAACTTCTCTAAACATTTCGTCCACACCTGTCTAAGTTCTGTCCCGCTAGGTGGAACCAAACCAGTGTCTCTGCCTCCAAACCTCGATGAAATGAAGGTAAATTGCACAGCGACATGCACATCCCAGAGAAACCTTTCCTACCTTATGTGTCGTTTTTATAATATGAGTAACATGCATGACTGCATACTAAGCATCCAGTAAAGAATTAAGAGTCTAAATAAATATCTGTCTGTGCTATGACCTGTCAGAACCAAGCTAGGTTTATAGCAGGAACGGACGATTTATCAATAAAGGATGGAGTTAAACGATGTATTAAAAGTGTGTAGTAATGGTAGGGCTAAGTGGGTGGCTGTGGCCAGGTGGGGGCCACAGCAGCAATATGTTCAGGGAATCCAGAGATTTCTCTTGAAAAATATAGTGGCAGGTAGGGGTGCAACGATACACAAAATTCACGGTTCGGTTTGGTTCGATACTTTGGTGTCACGGTTCGATATTTTTTCGATACAAAAAAATGTTCATGCCTTTTTAATTTGTCATTTATTAAAATTATAAATATATATTTTAACTCAAAAGTACAGTTTTTAAATTTAACCCTAACCCTTGTGCGTGTTTTTTATTTTGACAGCGAATGCGCACCTGCGGACCACTTATGTGCAGCCCTGGTTATTTAGCTCGTCATATTGCAGCCACAGAAATTCTTTTGTCCATGAAACCATAAAGCTGCACTTTCTTTTTGCCTTATAGTCTGATTTGTCATAACTTCTCCGTTTTGTGGTAAGCTTTTCTTTGGCTGTCACTTCTTCACCCTGACCTGTCTTATTTGGTTCAGCAGAACTAAAATATATATCCTGCTGCTTTTACACACGCACTCACATAAGCTCAGCGATTCTCTGCAATCAACCTCTCACATGTTTAAGCTTGCTGCGGGAGATTTCACTTGTCATGTTTGCATAGTAAGCTAACAATTAATAAGACGATGTCAGAGGAATTGGTGCACAAATTATCATCACTCACAGATCAGTGCTGTCGCTCTCTATACACAGTTCGCGCGATTGCAAAGTGAAAGCAAAAAACAAGCGCAAATTCAAATGCTACTTCAATATGTCACATATTGACAGTGGCTCACCGATGCCAATGACATAATTACCCAGCTACATTTCTGAAAGAATGCAAAAGCATTGACATATATTTTTGCTTCCTACAATAGCCCGACGGGCAGGGCAGAGATAGATTTTGGTAGCCCGACTGGAAAAATCGCTAGCCCCGGGACGTCGGGCTAGCGATATTGCGAGCCCTGTATCTGATTGAGGAATCACTCATCTTTGGAAAAGAGAGTTTATTACAGAGAAATGTCTCTTTCCAAAATAAAAGCTATACTATCCGCTTCTTCTGGGCTATATTCTCAGCAGCATAAGGAGAATCATGTGCTAACAGCTGTCTAAATGACTCGGCTAAAGTTAGTAGCATGCTTGCTTGTTTTTTTTCTGCTTCCACTTGTCTTTGCACTAGGATGATGTCGGCGTAAATGTGCAGTCATATTCGTTGTGTTCCCACTAGTGCTTTCAGGTTAATCTCGTTGAAATGACCTTAACGCCACAACACGGCAAATCTCCGTTAACGAGCTACCGCCGATCGCTCCGTGCATGGGGCTAGACGGCCAACACGTTAACGAGCTAACTGGGCTAACACACTAGTTCCCACCCATGTAATTGAGCATTGCGTGGCACATCCAACATACTGTTTTACTTTAGTCCATGACTCGCTTACCTTCAGGGTCATACGTCACATGAAAACCAAAATAATTCCAAACGCCAGATCTGAATGAGGGTGGGGGAGGTCCATGTTGCAAGGAGAGCTTAACTTCTGTCTCGCTAGCTTGCCCTGCGCTCTTCCTTCTGACGATGCTGTCTGTGTTGAGCGCTCAGTGAATCTGCGTTCGACTACTCCGCCTAGGCTGCACTGTCGAGCCTAGGCGGAGTAGTCGAATGCAGATTCACTGAGCGCTCAACACAGACAGCATCGTCAGAAGGAAAGTTGATAAAATAAATTACAAATGTTGTATTGTTCGATACATATGCGTACCGAACCGAAAGCACTGTATCGAACGGTTCAATATCGATACGAATATCGTTGCACCCCTAGTGGCAGGGGGGCTGGAGGAGAGGCTAGAGCTGGAGGAGAGGCAGGGTGAAACAAGCAGGTTTGCAGATTAATTCAAAAGGCTGGAATGAGACTAACCGGCTGTAGTAGCTGATTCTACAATCTGGAGTTGTAGTGGAGTTGAAGTTGAAGGTGACAGGTCCATTCAAATGGTACAACTGAAACCACTCCTGAACTGAGACTAAGGTAAAGAGAAGAGGGAGGCTGGAGCAGCTGGCCTGACATTCGTACCCTTTAGATGGAGTAAATGGGAGATGTGATGTGATGCATGGAAAAAAAATCCTCAAGGTTTCTTTCATTCGATGGAGCCAACCAGCTCAGCGAAGTTAAACAATGAGACAGTGATGGATTACTTCTTCTTCTTGTTCCCGTTTTGATTTCCCTTTCAAATTTATCCTAATCTCTTTGCTTTCCCCGTCTCTCTTTCTTCTATCTCAATTCTGTTTTTAATGCTGTCTTTACATCAGGTTGCGGAACTGAAGTCCGAATTAAAGCTGCGTAACTTGCCCGTCTCCGGCACCAAAAACGACCTCATTGAGAGGCTGAGGACATATCAGGAATTAAGCCGAGGCAGTGACACTACCTCCTCTCCAACAGCAGGGTGTACCACAGGGCCAGGGGCTGAAGGAGCAGGAAAATCATCCAAGAGCGCTGCATTCATCATCACCAGTAACAATACACGCATAGAGGTTATCCTAGAAAGAGTATATAAACTTTCTGTTAACTGTCTAATACCAGTCTTTCTGGACATTTTTGTGTTGCTGAAGTGGGCAGCGGTGGGAGCCTAAATGCAGCAAAACCTCAACAGTTCATGACCTCCAATGGGAGCCTTGCCTCTTCAGCTGTCTCCTTCATTCCCTCCATGAGTCCAGAAGACACCAGTTTTAACAGTGACCTCTTAGGGGAGCTGGTAATACCTTTTTGTTGCTATAATAAACCTTAGAGGACTTCAGAAATTTACTGAAGAAAGCCGTGCATTACACATATTTAAGTGTCACAGTGATAAATTCACTTCCTCTCAGAACTTCCTTGTTTGACAAGTTCAAGATCAAAACTAAAATACAAGTGTTGATAATTAGACACTTATATTGCTAATGAAGTTGACAAGCGGAAGATGATAGATTTTATTATATTAACAAAAACAATAATTATAAACATAGCAAAAATAAACATTATGGCTATGGTAAAAAAAAAAAAAGTGAAACATTCCTCAGAGATTTTGGTCCACATTGACATGACAGCGTCACACAGTTTTTCTGGATGCACATCCATGATGTGAATCTTATGTTCCACCATAAAAAATGAATGAACATGAAGTACATTTGTATGACAAATTAAAGGAAAACCCAATTTACATGTCTTTGTGAGGTCTTAAACCAGCAGTCCCCAAAATTTTTTGTGCCACGGATCAGTTTATATTTGACAATATTTTCACAGACTGGCCTTTAAGGTGTCGCAGATAAATACAACAAAATAAAACCAGTACTGGTACCAAAAAAAAGATTTATTCATAACACACAGGAAAACACCCAGGGAAACAGAGTTAATGATAAAAACGCTAAAAAAATAATGATAAAAACTCTCAACTCTTGCAGCCTGGTACCAAACGACTCACGGAACGGTTCCGGTCTGTGGCCCGGGGGTTGGGGACCGCTATGTTAAACCATGACATGTCACCAAAATTAGTTCAATTCTGTAAAAATTCTACAGCACATGATTCCTCTTATTTCTGTACTCATCAACTATTCAGCTGCCCCTCTGACACTATCAGCCTGGAAGAGCCCCCATGCATTAGCCAGAAATGTTTAATGACAGAATAAAGGTGATCGCTCAGATCCCACACTGTAACAGAGGCACTGGACCATAAGTATTCAAGTTTTTCCTTTAATTTTTCAGCTCCTTGTATATTGTAAGGTGAACCATTATATAATTAAAACTGCAGACACACAGTTTGCTTTACACTTATAGATGACCTATTTCTTCTCTCAATAGATGAGTTCACCTCTCAACCAATTGAGCCTCCAGCCATCTTCAGTTGCTCAGCTCTCCACAAACGTTAAAGAGGAGCCTCGATGCTCGACTCCCGCTCCTTGTCAATACTCTTTAAAGTCTGCCTCTCTTCAAAGACGCTCCTCAGTATCTTCAGGTGTCCCAGCCACTACGAGCACAGTTCCTGTACTGAGTGTTGATAAAGACAGATTGCTGCAGGAGAAAGATAAGCAGATAGAGGTGCTGACCAGGATGTTGTGGCAGAAACAGAGATTGGTGGAGGTGCTAAAAATGCAGCTGGAAAATGGAGACAGAGGAAAGGCTCCAGAGCCAATCAGTCCTCTCGGGGTAAAAGAAGAACCTCTCGATGAGCCCGATGTTGCCTTCTCAATGGACTTTGATCAATTTCCCTCGCAAAAATCACCTATTTCACAAGAGATGGATATTACCAAGGTAATTGTGAAACAGGAAGTAATTGAGGAAGAAGAAGTTAAACCTGAGAAAAATTTCCAGTCCCCAATCACTCATGGATTGCCACAGTCCTCAACCCAAACACAGGAGGAGCAGCTGGCTCAACAACACACCATACAGAAAGTCCTGCTACAGCAGCAGCAGCACATCATCCAGAATCAGACGCTGGAGAATCAGCACGACCTGCAGAAACTTTGTCAGCAGAGAAAGAAAAAATCTCAAAACCAGCAAAAGCAGCTCCTGCTGCAGTCACAACAGCAGCATCAACAGTCAAAACACGTGCAACAGATGCAGCTGAAGCAACAGCTTCTGCTGAAGCAACAAAAGTCACACATGTTGCCACAGCAAATGAAGACTAAACAACAGACTAAACAACTACAGCAAATCCAGATTCAGACCAAAATACAGCTGAAGCAGCAACAGGTGCCCAAACAGCAGGTGAAGCAGCAGCAGCAGCAGCCATCTGAGGTTAGGACTGTCTTTTATCTATAGTGTGTGGGGTTGGAGTTTTATTTAACTGCATTGCTTGTAAAGTTCTGCTCTTAAGAAGGATCCTGAACAATCAGCTCTGGTAAGAATTTAGAATAAAGAGAATAATTATAACAATCATATCTAGCAAGCACTGAGTATGATGAATCAAAACGGAAGTTAATTTGTTGCCATGCTGGTATGCAGTGAAGTGTAGACTAGACTGTGTAGGTTCTTCCCATAAAAGTTCTCTTTTCTGTTGAACAGGTGCCTCAAGCATACCTGAAACAGCAGTCAGGCTCAAGTGCCTCTTTCTCACTGGACCACCTTAAGATTGACTCCACCCCAACCCTGGTCACTGACACCAACGGTAACCATTTTCTGATCGCGCTGACCAATCACCTTACTGGAAACAAAATAAAGGACCCTGCTGAGGGAAAGGCAACCAATCACATTACACTGCAGGTACGTAAACTCAGTGTGCATGCAATCTTGCTGCTTTTTGAGCTACAGAATTACAATTATAGTTAAATGTAAAGAATATCAAACAGTACTGCAATTCTCAACATAATGTTTAAGAAGATTCATTTTAAGTTTTACAATGATAGCATTAGTGTTAAAATGTTGAAAGACTGACTCACAAAAGCTTTGTCAGTCATATTTACATAGATTAATTTATTATATAAATATATAGTGCGATATAGTCTATACAGCATTAATGTTGGCCACACAGGCACTGATCTCTGCATTTCCTGCAAAAAAGTATCAAGCTCAACTCAGCAACTCAGGGCAAAGCTGTATTCAGATCCTACAGGTGGATGTTGCTTAAGGCTGGCCTTTTTGTAGAAGCATCAGGAAGCCGAGTAGCTTTTAGGTTGGTGGTGTACACAGGCAGACCAAAAACGGATAAGCAGATCATTGTTAATTGAGCTGGACTGCATGAAATTTGTTTCATTGCTTTGCTGTCCGTTCACTTCTTACATTGATAACTACCTCATTTGTTCCTATAGCGACTCCAGTCTACTCCAGCCAAACGTCCAGGCCACAACCCTGTTAAGCTGACCAGAGCTGATAGTAAAGCTCAGCAAAGCATGCAAGTGAAGCTTGTGAAAAAGCACACTAAGGTGAGGATTAAAACAAGACATTTCTGATATGACTTTGTTGCCCAAGCTTAGGTAGTGTATACAATGGGAGAAATGATTCTTTGATTCCCTGCTGAATTCATAAGTTTGCTCGTGTACAAAGAAATGGAAGGCGTCAAAATTTTATGGTAGTTTAATTTTAACAGAGAGACAGAATATCAACCAAAACTCTAGAAAAAACACATAACATGAAATTTTGAACTGAATTGCATCTCATTGAGTAAAATAATTATTTGATCCCCTACAAATCAGCCAGAATTCTGGCTTCCACAGATGTGCTATGTGCCCACGTGGAACAAAGATCGATCAATCGGTCAATCGATCGGTCAATCAATCAAAGATCTCAACTCGTTGTGTGCATAAAACACACCTGTACACAGCATCACTTTCTTCCATTCTAACCTTTTACAATTTTATTTATATAGAGCCAAATCACAACAACAGTTTCCACTTTATATTCCAAGCTAAAGGCCCAAAAATACTACAGAAAAAAACAGAGGAAACTATGAACAATAATGAGAAGACAAAACTCCCTTTTAACAGGACAAAACCTCCAGCAGAACCAGGTTCAGGGAGGGGCAGGCATCTGCCACAATTGGTTGGGGTGAAGGGATGAAGACAGGACAAAGACACACTGTGGAAGAGAGCCAGAAATTAATAGTAACTAATAATTACATGCAGAGAGGTGTATAAACACATAGTGAGTCAAAAAGGTGACAGAAGAAGAAGCACTCAGGTCATGATGGGAACCCCCCAGCAACCTAAACCTACTGGAGCATGACTAAGGGAGAATTCAGGGTCACCTGATCCAGCCCTAACTATATGTTTTATCAAAACAGAAAGTGTTAGGCCTAATCTTTAAAAGTAGTGAGGCTATCTGTCTCTCTCCACCTCTCCACCACCATAGGCCAAGAGTTGTCAAACAATGTCAATCTGCACAAGGCTGGAATCGATTACAAGACTTGATGAGAAGGTAAGGATCTGTTGAGGCGCCATGGAAGAAATCTAAAACGACCATCAATCCCTCTTGGCCTGCCACTCCATGGAAGATCTTACCTCATGGGGTGTAATAGATTGAAATCTTGCAGCACCCAAAAGGATCCCCTGCTCAAGAAGCCACATGTACAGGCCCATCTTAAATTTGAAGGCTTGGGAGGAAGTGCTGTGGTCAAAAGAAACCAAAATCAAACTATTTGGCATCAATTTAACTCACCATATTTGGAGTAAGAGAAATGCTGATTATGAACACCAATGCTACAGTCAAGCATGGAGGTGGAAACATTCTGCACTGGAGCTGTTTTTCTGCTGAGGGTACATGATGACTTCAATGAGGGGCCAATGGACAGGGCCATGTACAGTAAAATCTTGGATGACAATCTCCTTCCGTCAGCCAGAACACTGAAGGTGGATCATGAATGGGTCTTCAAGTATGACAGTGACACAAAACACCGCCAAGGCAACAAAAGAGTGACCAAAGACGCACATTAATGTCATGGAGTACCCTAGGCAGTCTTCCGACTTCAGTCTTATAGAAGATTCAATTCAATTCAATTTTATTTATATAGCGCCAAATCACAACAAAAGTCGCCTCAAGGCGCTTCATAGATCTGTGGAGAGAGCTGAAGCTCTGAGTTGCCAAGAGCCATCGAAGAAACCAAAAGGAGTTTAAGATTTCTTTAAAGATGGGGGGTCACCTGTGATGTGTGCAAACCTGGTGACCTTCTACAAGAAATGCCTTACTACTGAGCTAACCAACAACAGTTTCTCTACTTTGGGATCAAGTACTTATTTCGGTCATTAACATAAAAATCAATGTACATTTCTGGATTTTTGGTTTATATTCTGTCTCTCTCCATTAACACAAAACTACCATAACAATTAGAGAATCTTCAACAGGGGATCAGCTATTTTTTTTACCCCATTGTAACTGTATTGAAAAACTTAAAGTGTTACATTTCACTACAGTAGATCAGTATGGTCAATATGCCACTTTGAGTGGGTTTTAGCTCAGAGCATATTTCTTTTGTAGCAAAATTTTGTAATAAAAATTGCTGACTCTGAGGTATATAGATTATCTGTCATATCAAGGATCTGAAAAGGCACATCGTCTTCAAGGCTTTAAGCAATTGTATTTTTAAATATCATTTATCTCTATTAGACTACAGTGAGAGGAGAAAAACCAAAATCCTTGGGATCTTTTTATTTGCTATCCATGAAGTTTCCGTATAAAAGATCTCAAGTAATTTTCTTAAATATTTGTACCATTTCTTTTTATATTTGATGAGTTATACAGTTTAATCTCAATGAAAACCACACACCCCCTGAGCCATCTCCAGTGCTGAAACAAGTCTGTTAATGCGCCACAAAGAGATAGAGAAACATGAGAGTGTGAGGGAACTGCTCTAGTGAGTGCAATCGCATCGAAAATTAATGATGTATGCTGTTTGAGACAATGACAGCGGTCCTTGATAAGTCTCTGACACTAGCCCGATGCTGATTATTATTGCTTTGCTAATTACTCCTACGACATCCTCCATTACGATGATTTACGGTGTTAATGGAGGAAGAACAAAGACTCTATTGCATTTTGGCTAATTGAGATGCACAGTATATCCTGCCGAGTGCAGGTGTGCTGGAGCGCGTGGTCACTGGGCCAAAGCCTGCCTCAAACACCTCAGGATTTAGTGGAACACTGTATCCTGATTAGCAATTTTTCCGTGTCTCGTTTTGCCTTCTGTGACACTTGATTTAGAACTTGTCTACATCTTATGAATAAATTTACTGGTAACTACATCAGTACTGCTGACTTTTATTACTTTTACGGTGCTTATAGTCCTTTCCAATTTTGTTCTTTAATTGAAAACACAGAATGGAGTACTTCAAGTGTCTGTAGAGAAACCACACCAGGGCACAGCTCAGTGTTTGTCAGCACCTCCCAGTCTACAGCCATTCTTCAGGGACCAAGAGCCTGCTCCCTCAGGAAAAAACACCCCTTCATCTCCTTCTCAGGGTGTAAGTAATCCAGCATTGATGTGAATAATTTGTCATGGTGGGCCTGGAACAGGACTTGGAACTTTTTAGTTCTTCATTCATTTTCGCTCACTTCATCTTATCTCTACCAGGAGGTGTGCCCAAATCTGGAGGACTTGTTTAGTCCTGTATCTCCGGCTTCTGTTCAGACAGCAGCCTCATCTCCCGATGACAAAGTATGATGATTAAAAAAGACATTTCAGTTGCAAAATTTACCCTTTTTTTAAACTATATTTTTGATCATGGGCTTTCACATGAGGCATTTGTATCATATAGTAACACTATATGTAGTTTAAAACATTACATGTTGTTTCTCATCAGGACATAGATCATGAAGATGACTTCATTGACATCATCTTGCAGAGAGGAGGTAAGATCTCAAGATGGATGGATGGATGGATAGATAGATAGATAGATAGATAGATAGATAGATAGATAGATAGATAGATAGATAGATAGATAGATAGATAGATAGATAGATAGATAGATAGATAGATAGATAGATAGATCATGTTCGAGTTTTTTGCCCTCAACAACATGTTCATCACCATTTTCAACTCAATCTGGAGAAGCAGGGGCACTGAAAAAGCTCAAGAGGTCCAAAGTTGTTCATTTTTTCCCCTATTGGCTTTTTGTCATCACATTTTCATCACATCTCATTTAAAAGTTATCAGCAAATAGCATATATCAGCCAGTAATATTGGCCCGCTGATTGGTCAAGCTCTAAGCTATATTTAGTTACTCTGTAGGTTTCTGACTTAATCAGTGTTTTGATTTGTTGTCACTAATACCTGCTGGGTTCTGTGTGGGGGTCGTGCTGTTGGTTTCACTGCCTTAAGCCTTCCCTGGAGATATGCTCCAGAACAGAGCGAGCCACTAAATATAAATTACTGCAGATGGAAATAGAGAGAGATGTAAATAATCTTCTTTTGCCCCTAATACTTGGTTTAGAGTTCTTTCTATTTTTGTTGTTTTAATGTTATCTTTGTCTTTCCTTTCAGAAACTTCCTGTAAGCCTCCACCAGACCTCTCTCTGAACCGCCTTAATCAAGACTCCTCTGCTTGTTCACTTCCTCCCTCACCACTCCAGATGTTGCTGCCCCCGTCTCCCCCCATTCCGCCTTGCTGTGGCACTCCACACCCTGACCCCTCTTTGCAGCCTGAGCTTCAAACTGTGGCTGACACCACAGGACAGAAACAACACCTTAGTCATGCTGAAAGTGGGCGCCTTGAGGACTTCCTCGAAAGCACCACTGGAAGGCCTCTTCTCGGGGTGGAGCCCGGAGGTCTACTTAGCTTGATTGATGACCTTCACAACCAAATGCTGTGCACTTCCAGCATTCTGAACCACCCCCTTTCTCCCATGGATACCTCAGACACGGCGTCATGGGAGCAAGGGTTGGACAGTATGGACTGGTTGAATCTTACCACAGAAAGAGATAGAGAAGAGGAAAGTCCATCACTGGCTCTCCAAACTCCCCCTAGTGTCTTTTCCACAGACTTCCTGGATAGTTCTGACCTGCACATACATTCGGAATTCTGCCTATAGCCTAGAGCTACTGGAAAACTGATATCCTATGTAGATGGGTGCAGTTACTCATTATCCAGTCACTTACACATAAAAACATGCAACTGATTGCTGAGGTTTCAGTATTTGATTAGGGCACTTAGTCTCTATGTTCTCATACATTTGGATATTGGATCTTCAAGAGCTTTGACCTTTGTTTATTTGTTTATATTTTGCTGCACTGATTTTGATGCTCTTATTAGGCAGGTCCTATATCTGTTAGTGCATCTTTAGCAAAGGTCTTGTTGACACTTTTGTGCTTTTAACTCCAACATAATCCCCAAAAATATAAATTACTCTTGTCTTACCATAGACACAGTGTTCAAGTAAAGAGGTATGAAAACTTACTTGATATTTGTCTAATGACAATGCAATCTCCTTGCTTGTAATTTAAATAGTAATCAATAACCAAAGTTAAAGGAGAAACTTTTAAGATCGATACCAATATTGGGTGAATTTTAAAATGAGATATTCTGATATATCGGCTGATATTTTTTCTCCTTTCAGGCACAGAAAACACAAACAGATTTCCTCGATAGTTGCTATGTGTAGTTATTTATTTACTTGTTTGTACACTGCCCAACTCTGCTTGGACTAGTGGGACACCGATGCAACACTGATGTTGCAAACACATTTACTGCCAAAAGGGAAGTTGCAAGCGCCCTTTGTTGGGCAAACTATGCAAATTCAAACCCACATAACATGGTTGAAGGGTGTTTCTCCCTTCTCTTCTTTACTTTAAAATTTTCAGTCATCAGCCAATAAATGCAGATACCGATAGATCATCAAATATCTAATGCTGGCTAATAATAGTGGGATTTACAATGACTGTAGCTCCATGTTATGGAAATAACTTTGGATATTTTGCAGGCTACAGCCATAAAAGTGTTACTACTGTATTTAGTGCTAGTCAAACTTACACACATTATGTATGTGCTACTGCTCTGGAACTGAACTCTGGATTTTTCAAGGATTCATTCCCATGAAAAATCAAACTGTTGATATTTCACAAGCATTTTCATGCTAATATGTTATAAGTGTTGTGGTACAGGATACATCTATCTCCAGAATTAAGTACAAAAATCATCCAAGCACAACATCAAAACTTAGGTACACACTTAGCTTATGCAAAATGTTTGGAACAATCATGAATTATTACATCAAAATTAACAGTGTTACAATAAAGGGAGTTTAAAGGCTGTATTTGGCTTAAGTCCCACAGTATAGTGGGGAAAACAAAAACAATGACAGTGTTGGTATTAAATGTTGGTTTTAAAAACCCAGACTGCACAGCACTGTTTGCGTTTGAATTTATAAAACTATGCAAAAAAAAAAAGAAAATAGAAAATTGATTGTGACAGGAGAGTTATGGAATGAAACTACTGAAAATTGTTGATTGTTTCATTCACAGCCCAGCTTCTCCTAAAGAAATATTATATACATTATATAGAAGATTAACTGTATGCCAAAGACAAATCCCTGGTTTTGAATGTATGGAACGTGAAAACTGATATGTGAGCTGCTGGTTCTTGAAAATAATGAGGAAATAAACAATATAATAACAATGCCGCAATTTATTTGGCACTTTTTCAATAGAAAATGTTGAACTGATCAGTGTTTTTGACAATATAAAGTGTGATGCCCAGTGTATTACTGTTTTGTTTGGGTTTATTTTAGAGTTCCAAAATGATATAAATGTAAATACATGAAACATTATTTTAAAAAAAACTCTGATCATTTTATATTTCTGTTTAATGTGTGAATCTGTTGGTATGATATGCTCACAGTGCTTCCTGTTTATATACTGTTTGGTATTTATGGTATATTAGTGATCCCCAAAAGGATTGGACATTGCCTGTATTCAGCCGTCTTTATGTTTGCTCTTGTTATAAATGATCAATGCACACGTGATGATGAAAGAGAATAAGATATGATATAAAAGGAGAAACTCTTGATGTCTGATTCACTTATTTTGAATTCAATTATTCTTAAAGGATTTTTGCAGTTATTTTGTTGTTTACTTGTTTAGTTGTCCTGTACTGTATCAGAGCTTTTAGTGCTGTCATTTCACATTTCAGACACTGAACACTTACCATTTTAAGGCACATTTGTTTCTAATTTTCTTCTTTTCTTCTTGTGTAATTCAGGTTTCTTGGTGCTGTTTGATCAGAAATTAATTTGTCTTGAGAATAACAACAACAACAAAACATTTGAAGGCAATGTAGACAACTATGATGATATCCATGAACACATATGCTGAATTTACCATGCACATGCAATATACATGTCATTACATTTTTCAGTGCGTTACTATTTATATTGTACTAAATGTGTAATGTTCTGGCTCCTATGAAAGAGCTGCTACTGCATTTTGAATTTGTTTTACGCAATACTAATATTTTATAAGTGTTGTGGAAACTGTCATAAGACCATGTTTCCCCTGTGGGAAAAAATATTTCAGGCATTCTGTTGTAGGTGGAAGAAATATTTATTGCATTTTAGTGCCAAAGAAAGGACAGTCCCAAAGGCTACTCTTTTCTATTTTAACTATTCATATGTTGCTCTTTGTTTACTATTCTTTTCAGATGAAGAACTCTCTTCGTCTGTGCTTCGTTTCAGCTTGTCTAATCTTCAGGTTTCTACTATGGAAGAAGAGTAGAAAGTGGGCAGTGGTCCTAAGGTCACACATACAGTCAGGTGATGGTGATGCAAAGACCCTTTAGACCAGCGGTCCCCAACCTTTTTTGCACCACGGACCGGTTTATGTCTGACAATATTTTCATGGACCGGCCTTTAAGGTGTCGCAGATAAATACAACAAAATAAAATCAGTACCAGTACAAAAAAGGAAGATTTATTCATAACACATGGAAAAAGACCTGGGGAAACCGAGTTAATGGGAAAAACGGTAAAAAGAAATAATGATAAAAACCGATAGAAACCCTGAAAACCATAAATTTCACACCCACACTGACACAAATCCCTATCCTAAAGAGGACACCAACAAAAACCCTCTTTCTTTGGTGTTTGAATGCAAAAGCTACAACACAAAGAAAAGTTGAAAACCTGCCCGAAGACATTCAAAACTATCACCACTGCACTCTTTTTGTGTACAGTGCTGTGTGACTGTCTATGTCTTATTAAATAAGCTTACTTATTATCAGTGTTGGGCAAGTTACTTTGCAAAAGTAATTAATTATAGTTACTAGTTACTTCTTCAAAAAAGTAACTGAGTTAGTAACTGAGTTTCAAGATTCTAAAAGTAATTAATTAATTGAAAAGTAACTATTGCATTACTTTAAAAAAAATGTTTAACCCTCTGTCCAGGGTATAATTGGCCATTTTTAACCACTTTTGATTTTCCCTCCACATTTCACCTTTGAAAACTATTTACTTTGCCTTGTTTGGTATCATCCTTTTCAGCACAACCTCACGTGTCTGAATTTACAGTTATGTTTTCATTTTTACATACTGTATTAACACAATTGATCTAAAATCAGACAAAAAACATAAAATCCGAGTAGAAAGTTATATTTTTTACTGTAACAACCACAAACATGTTTATTGAATCATATTTCATAATTTTAAATGCAAATATAAATTGTCAATTTTAAAATCCTCTGCACAAGTTTTGCAAACAACAAAGTTATTTGCATCCATTTACCTTTTACCCTTTTTTTTATAACCATTTCAAACTATTTACAGAACCATCAGCTGTTCTGCATTCAATAAGATGCCTCACAAATTATTTGTGCCACTCCAAAAAAACTATTTCTGTCCACTATGAAGGAGAACATCACAGCCTGATACCTGCAGGTCTGACAGCAGCAGGTGTAACACTCCTGTCTCTACCTGGAGACAGCAGTCGCCTCATTGTTCTGACACACAACACAATACTATCCACAACACTACACACTAACTACACAAGACAACACATTAACTACACGCTCCAAACACGCTAAACGTCACAAATCTCTCACATCCCAAAACTCCCTCTCTCTCTTTTTCTGCTGTCTTTATCTCTCTCTCTCGCTCTCCTGAACCTTCCCCCTCTTCCTAAACAACCAAATGTCATGTTGCCATATCATTTTTGGATTGACATGGTACATTTTTCCACCAAAACGAACGGGCTGTTTTTTGCTTTGTTTTTTTATTTTTTGGCTCATAAGCAGAGAGTGCTTGCTGCGCAGTCCTTAGACAGTAAACGTAGTGAAACTATTCAGGAAAAACACGCTTATATATTATTTATCATGACTCTGGTTTTACGTGGTCTATTGACACAATTTATAAACTGGTGTATGTCACCTTGTTGCTTTGTCTTGAAGTGGTCATGTGATTGACTTACCACGACTACTTTATTCTTCCTCAGTCAAACAGCAGCACTCATGTGATTGTTTTGCCCCCTTAGCTCCAGGTGTTGTGTCAAAAAGTGATCGTCTACCAGAAAGTGATTGCCGTCCGCGGGAGCACGCGCAGCTGCTTAAAGCTGTAGCGTCCAGATTACTTACAGCTACTTCAGTGCAACTGATATAAAATGCGGTAAGCTGAACACAGCTTCGACCGTCTGTTTGTTGAAAAATAGTAACACGACCTCACCGCATTTTCTTGTTAGTAACGATGGGAATAGTAATTAGATTAGTCGTTAATGACAAAAGTAATGCCGTTAGCAACACCGTTACTCTTAACGCCGTTATTCCCATCAGTGCTTATAATTAACTACGTACGTACTTAAACATGTCAGTCATGGTACTGATACTGGCCATTGTGGACCTAGCATGAGTCTATTTTTATATAACTTTAACAATGTGGAAATAATTTGTTATATGTGGATCTTGAAATTCATAAAATAATCAAATAATCATATTTGTACCCACTAAAATACATATGCTATAATAATATTAATGTAAAAGTAGACATGTTACAGTACATTTAATAAACCTTGAACTGTTCTCTTGCAGATATGGATTGACTTCTTTAGATAACCATTACAGCACACTCACGCTCACTCAGCAGCAGAAGCTTTGATTCTATAAGCCAGAATAAAACAGTTTTTCAGTGAATTCATTCTTTGATTAGTTCCGGTTTGCTTGTTTGTTCCTTGATATTCTGATTTAGCAAAGCCGATGATACTGAAGATAATTGCAGGCTTATCTTCACACCCACAAGCTTGCTGTTTATTTTCAAAGATGCATAGAATCTCAGAAATAGAAATTCATAGAGACCTACAGGAGAACGAGGAATGCAATCCAGTGTTCATGCAGTACACATATACACTAGTGTGTCTCCTCAATGCATTTCAGTACTTGAACAGGGGGTGAATTATATGTTGTCACATCACTGATAACACAGATCACATATGAAACGTAACACAGATGAATACACACAGACTCTCACCATGAGGGAGACGGAGGTTTATTTGAAAATGATAACATACTCTACAGTCTAATGCAGGGGAGCGGGCACTCCACAGTGGGGGTCCATTGCCTTTCACTCAAACCCATAACATGGCGGCTGGTCTCCACCTTCATCATTCGTCCTTTTTTCCTTCTTTTCATCCTAGAAAAAAAAGCAAATATTACGGCTGGGTGTGCTCTTGAGGTAGTTGAGAAAAATGCTGAAAGGTTAAAGCTCTGAAGCAATTATGCAAATTATCACTAGGTAGCTTAAACTATACATGCACTGGCAGTTTTTCACATTTGCTCCTCTTTATAGTATATCATTGTTAACTGTTTTAAAATTCACTTAAGGAAAAGTGGAGATGTGGTTCAAGTTTTGATCTTGACTGACGTCAGTGCAATCAAGCAGCTTGCGTTGTCACACCAGACAACTTCTTAACTTGTGGAGATGTCCTTAAAGCTTCCATCCCGGCAAACTGTCCCATTATCTCGCTTTTCCTGACTGCAGAGCTTCACCTTTGGCATATGAGCCACAGCAGGGGGGTTTGATATTAGACAGCCTGAAGTGATTCTGCAGATGCTTTGATGCGCCTCAGCATTACAGTAGGGGGTCTGCTTGTGATGTGGAAGTATGTTAGCATTTCCAAACACAGACAGCAACACATGCATCCACAAATATACACAATACCTACATTTACAACACGTGGACTTCCAAGTACACAATGGCTGTTTTATAACACTCCTACAGGAGCACAAACTTATATTTTGAGAAGATTCAGAGCAATGTCTGATTACAACATTGTGGTGGTAACAAAGGTCTATACTTTGCTAGGAAACTGATACAGTGATAGTAGAGTCTGTTCCTTATCCTTCTTGAGCAATAGCTCTCCAGGTTTTCTAAAGGGAATTTTTTTGGACATTGGCTTCTTTTTCATCCATTTTTAGTTGTTTAATAGACACAATAGACACATTAGCTAAGAACCTATTTAAAATTGTATTTTTAGGAACAGTTACAAGCAGCCTGTCGTACAAATGTATCATTTGCTCCTGTTTCATTAGCTGAATGATCCCCTCAAACTTAACCAGACATTTCACATTTGCATTCTTCACTCCATTAGACCCGTTGCCACTGATTTTCAGCCCAGTTCTTGTGTAATTAGGCACAACAGCCTTTTGTCCCTGTTTCTCTTCATTAACGATGGCTTTTTGACTGCCAACCTTCCACTGGATCCATTTCTCGTGAGGGTTCAGTGAACAGTTGGATCAACTGAGGTACAGATGCATCTTAGGTCTGATTTCTTTTTGTTCTTGGATGGTTTTCAGGCCTGACACTTCTTCTTTAACCTCTTCCTGTCCAGCTTCATCAATTTCTTCATCAAAAGTTTTGCGAGATCCCAAGTTTGTTTTGCGAGATCTCGCAAAAGTTCATCGTAATTTTTTTTCTCCCATGTCCCTTGCAGGGCTCAGTACAAATTCCTCAAAAACAAACAAACAAAAAAAAACATGTGGTGGAGATGAGTATAGGGTCGAAGCCAACACAAAAGTGATGCAATTGGTTGTGTAGATGTCAGGCGCAAACATCGAACATGACAATCACTGGTAGCAAGTGAACATGAAGACTAAAGAAGGCATATCAAACACTATTTCATCTGCAGACTGTTAACACCCACTGACTCAAACTGGATCAGACTCAGTCCATTTCCATGCGATGAGTCACTACTATTGGCTTAACAGTCCGTGTGTGTGTCTCCAGTTTAAGACAACAAAAGCACTGATGTGATGACCTCGTGAGAAGCTGCTGTTGTTTTAGAGGACATTTGACAGTCCTTTGAAAGCTGAGGTTATTTCAGAGCCAACACCATGACTCCGCTGTGGTGGATGGAAGGAGTGAAATTGATTTAGGTTTAACAGATTGGGGTGAATATATGACAAATGACAAATAACATGCAAAATGTGGACCAGTCTGGAAACCATCAGTGATGACATGTTTAGTGACATACAAAGAGACACACTTATACTAAAGTGGCAGATTTCAGCTCCAGCTGCATGTGTAAATAAAAATGCTGACACGGGCTGTCAGATACACATGTGAATGGGTAAGACATGTCTGCAAGTACATGGACACACATATAAACACGCCAGCATTCACACACAGAAGTAATGCACTTCAGTTCAGTTTTATTTTTGTAGCTCCACCTTACATCAGCAGCCATCTTAAGGGCTTTACGTTGTTAAGACCATGCAACTTCAGAGTTTACTCCCTCTGTCTGATCTGTACCCCTAAAGCTTGGTTAAAGACTGATTGCTGAGTACGACGCCCTGTTTGGAGAGCATGTAATGCAAATACCTCCTCAGACATCTATGTCAAGCAGTTAACAGATCTACATGAGTGGACAGTGTGTAATTGCTTTGCAAATGGCCCCAATTAAGCCACTAAATGCATAAAACCATCAGCCTCATTGTGCTCTGCAAGAGTGCTTTTTGTGCGAGTTTACTCTTCAGGAGGTTATCCAGGCTATACAATCATTCCCTAATGGCAAAACAGCGGGACCTGATGGTTTTTGTCCAGAGTTCTATAAGACATTTTGCAACATTCTTGCACCACTAGTGCTTAGGATGCTGCGCAGCTCAAAAGAAGAAGGAAAATTGCCTAAAACTTTATGTCAAGCCAATATTACTCTCATTTTGAAAAAGGGAAAAGATATGACTGACCCTACTAATTTTAGGCCGATAGCACTTCAAAATCCTGACCATAAGATAGTTACAAAAATCCTGGCTACTAGATTGAACAAGCACTTGGCATCCATTATTCATCCTGATCAGACGGGGTTAATCCCAGGTAGACTTTCCTTTTTTAATGTTAGGCGATTACTCAATAGCATCTATTCTGACTATAAAAATTCTAAGGGAGCCTCTGTTTTGGCCTTGGATATACATAAAGCTTTTGACCAGGTCGAGTGGCCTTACATGTTTGAGTCACTGCGCAGATTTGGGTTTGGTGAATCTTTCATTTCTTGGGTGAAACTGATTTACACAGAACCAATGTGCTCTGTTTTGACAAATAACAACCAATCTGCCCCATTCCTTCTGCAGTGCTCGGTGCAGAAGGGCTGCCCACTATCCCCAGCACTCTTTGCCATTGTTTTGGATCCTCTTGCTGTGGCTATATGAGTGCATCCAGATATCAAGGGGCTCTGGGTTGGAGGTGTTGAATCACTAATTAGCTTGTATGCTGATGATGTAATACTGTACTTGCAGGATGCTGAACAATCTGTTCCTCTGCTCCTCTGCCTGATTGCAGCTTTTGGTAAATAATCAGGATATACCATTAATTGGCCAAAGAGTGAGTTTATGCCTCTTTCCAACAACAGCTCGCCAGAATTTCTGCAGCAAGTTCCATTCAAAGTAGTTAGGAATCATCTAAACTATCTCGGCTTGACTGAGTATCTGTCAGGTCTAAAGCAAAGCATTGAATACTGGAAAACAAGATGATTTCACTTCCCAAATTTTTATATCTATGTCAAAATCTCCCCACTTATCTTACAGCAGCCTTTTTCAAACATTTGGACTCAGTCATTCAGTCTTATATTTGGAATGGTAAAAGGGCTAGAATCTCTAAAATGCATTTGAAGAAAACCAAGAGAGAAGGAGGGCTGGGTCTGCCAGTTTTTAAACATTACTACTGGACTGCTAATATCAGAGCATTAGTGTTCTGGCAGCAGGACTCCCCAGATAACCAGGCATCGACGCCCCCATTGTGGGTTAGAAGCTGAATCAGTGAACAATTCCTCTCTGTCGGCTATGTTATTTACCAAGTTTGGAAAATTAGACTCTTATAAATGTCTGGGATTTGTATTAAAACAAACCATTAGAATCTTGAATCAGATTATAAGAGTTTTGGCATTGCCAGACACATCTGTACCTACGCCAATATGTTTTAATCATAATTTTATGCCTCCTTGGCAAGACAAGACTTATCATGACTGGAGAGACAAGGGTTTAGTGTCTATTAAAGATATGTATATTGATAATAAATTCTCGTCATTTGGTCAACTAAAAGGGAAATATAATGTGCCGCATTCACACTTTTATAGATATTTGCAGGTCAGGCATTACATTCAAACTAAGTTTAAAGACTTTGCAACTTTACATTCGGAGCACGGGATCTATGAAATACTCAAGAGCCAACCTGATTCCACACATCTTATCAAAAAGATTTTACAATTATTTGGCGACTCTATCGCAGTGCATACCGTTGAGATTAGGCAGGCTTGGGAGAAAGAATCGGGGATGAGGGTGCCCGAATCTATGTGAAGTAAGTGTCTGTCCAAAATCCATTCCTGCTCTATAACATCAATTAATTAAATTTAAAATCCTCCACCGGCTACACTATTCTAAGGTCAGACTGCACAAGATTTATCCTTCTATCTCTCCAATTTGTGACAGGTGCAGACGGGCAGAAGGTACATTGTTTCATGCCTTTTGGTCTTGTCCCTCATTAAGAGGCTTTTGGTACAATACTTTTTGACTGGTACTCCAAGGCATATATGAAACCTTTACAGCCTGAACCTGAACCTGAAAGAGAGCGTGTGAGTGCAAAAGGGAAGAGTTAAGATGCTGAAACAATCTGAAGTGTACTTGGTGCAGTGTGAGTGCAGGCCAGTGGGGAAGTGGAACAATTGTGCTTGGGCGCAAGAACAAGGCAGCCATGCTGAGTGTGAGTGAACCCTTAGAGGCAGAACCTCAACACTCTGCTGTGATCCTGAAATGGATCTCTGATTTTTGGAAAGCAACAGTAGGGCTGGAGAACTCTTTTTAAACAAGAAAACATGTGAAAAAGATGTTCATAGAGGTTTATGGGTTTGTTTATGAACAGCTCTCTTAAGTTCCCGCCACAGCATTTCAGTCAGTTTGCAATTTTGTGTGGTTGACATGATGTGTTTGTGCCGCATTAGGTTGTTTCTTAGGTGTCTACCACCTGTGATGCTATGCATTATTGCCAAACATCTCCACTTTGGTCTCGTCTGTCCAAAGGACATTGCTGCAGAAGTTTTATGCTTTGTTCAGATGCAACTTTGCAAACCTAAGCCATGCTGATATATTCTTCATACAGGGAAGTGGCTTTTCTCTCAGGAACTTCTCCAAATGAGCTGAACTGTTCAGTCTTTTTCTAATTGTGCTGTTGTTAGCTTTAAAATTTACCATCCTAACTGAGGCCTGTAGAGCCTGACAAGTATCTCCTGAGTTTTTTGCAGTTTCTCTGAACATTGCACAGTCTGAGCTTGGGGTGAATTGACACACCTGAATGCTCCAGTCTTGCTAACTGCCAAAACCTGCACTTTTATAGAGACACTCACACTCACTGATGACCAATTAATCAACTGCACTCCATAAGAAGCCCCTTGCTGCTATTTACCCCTTAATTCCTGTGGAAGCAGCATGTATCTAATTTTTTTAGTGGAGTGCAGAGAATCCTGAGAAATCACTCTTTATCACATGACTGTACAAGCACATACATACTCTTGTATTTATTGCACTATTGTTTGAACTAAGGTGAAGGTTTAGAAAATGAGGTCTGGCAGTCGTGAGTTGTGTGGCCGCCATCAGATGAAAGTCACCTTCAAGGGCAAACGCAGAAATGACTGATTCGATCTATTAGTGCTTAGCTTCTGCCCAGTGACTCGTGTTGCATCTCACCTTAAAAGACCTGCAATGATACAACTATAAGAAATGAGAAGCTGAAATTAAATTCTGTTTATAACGAGTGGCCCTCATATTTAGGCTTCATTTAATACATTTGCTGATTAACTAAAACGGCACATCTCAGTATTGACACAAACTTGTGTGACAAAAGGATCATCGAAATCTACAAATGCGTTACGCAGTAAACTCCATTTAGTTTTTAATAACTTCACTGGTTCCTTTTTATAACATCAATCAATAATTTTACACAGTGAAGGGGTTCTCTCATAACGCTGAACTCAACTGGAGAGTTTCACACCAACCTTCATCCCTGTCAGCTCTGTCAACACTTCATCATCATTTACATTTTAAAGTTTTTATGGCTCACAACTTTACTGATTAATTCTCTTCTCAAACTTTGCTCTAAAATAACATCATATGCACCTGTGTAGCACCAAACAACAGGCAGACACATTTAGAGACCAGCTGGTGAACACAGCGGAACATTTAGCAGCTAAAGAGCCAGATACAGATGCCTCAGGAGACCACAGCAGCTAAGTGAGTGTTTAGTTCGGTGGACAGACACATCGCTGCTGATGTCACTCACTTACCCAGCAAAAAGTTGAGAAAATATAACAAAAACAAAACTTTCCACCTTTTTTTTTTTACTTACCAACCAACTTTAGATGTCTTTTTAAAGGTCTGTGGACGTTTGGTGGTTAGAGGGGCTGCGTCTGCTGCATCTGTAAACTCTTGACTAACACATTCACCACATCAGCTTTGCAAGGTGACAGCACGCAAATGCTGAATGTACTGTTTACTTCCCTGCAAGAGTAAGGGAAAAATCTATTTGCCAAAAGTTTTAACATGAAGTACAATATTTATGTATTTTTTATAGGTTTTCTCCTTTTGGTGGGACTTATTCTAAGAAATCAGGTGAAGTTTAGTTTACAGAACTGCCTGCAAGCCCCCTATTAAAGGCTATGACATCACTTTAATAGACTCTCGTACTAAAGTGCTTTTTTTAACACTGTGTATCTCAGTTGCCATCTTTGCCCCTTTGCCAAACTGTGAAAATGAGTGCTGCTGTTGGAAATAGTTGCAATCCCTATTTATAGCTATAGAGACAACGCCAAAACAGACAAAGGGAACAAAGAAAGTGCAGTTTTGAAAGGTGAGAGAAAGAGCGATATGTTGTGAGAGACTCCAGGAAGAGGTGAAGGGGGAGATGAGAAAAGGGTGCGTGTAAGGACTCAGACATGCATGTGTTGGAGTGTGTGCACTAGAACATTTCGGTCCCACCTGGACCAGAGGTGAGTGTTTGGCAGTGAAAAATAAAAAGATATGAGCTAGTGAGAGAGACCGAGGGAGAAGACAGAGAGCTCAGGAGCAGGAGGGAGGAGAACAGAAATAGCTCCGGCCCATTATCATCACCTCTACCTGTCTGGCTGTCACACCTTTAATTACTGCTGCCACATTGCTGCAAATAGCACTGAGTGAGGGAAGTGTGTGTATGTGAATGCGTGCGTGTGTTTCTCCTTGCGTAGGTATATTTGCGTACATAGTATCTATATGTAAAATATGGTTTCCGCCCTATTTTTGTGCTTTTACACGACATGTCAAGTCTCTATGTCTCAGTGCCTGCTTTGTTACTGCGTGTGCCTCTGTGTGTGTCTGCGCACACGAATGTTTGTGTGTACGCGTACGGCGATTATACCTCTCCAGTTAACCACCTGACGAGACGCTGCCTGGTGACAGAAGCTTAATCTAATCTTTAATATGACAGCAGCATTTCTGCAAAACTACCGTCGTCACTAAACTGTTGATCTTCAGTGTGTGCATGTCTGTTTAAACAGACTACAGTCACACACACACACACACACACACACAAACATGCTCCTGAAAGCAGATATTTTTCAGAGAGATACAGTAAGTGTGACTTCATGTGTCGTCTTAAGCACACTGTAAGCAGCCAATGTAGGTCAGGCGTATTGCAAACTGTGTCTGTGACTGTTCGCTTGAAACCAAATTCTACCAGCGGGATTATACAGAGACAGGCCACCCACCAACCCACAAACACACACACACACAAAGCATGTGCATCATCATATGAGCACATAAAGGGGCCTTTTAAATCTAGGTCAGCCAACTGGTGGAGACAGTACTGACCTTTACCACAAACAACACACATTACCTGGAAAAAACTACAGGTGAAGTAACAACACAGCAAACAATAAAGGAAAATGAACCACCAAGTCTCACAATTATTTGAGACTTTCGCTGTACTGTTAATTTGTCTACCTAATAATATCTAAATCCTCACATGTTGCCAAAAAACATCTGACCCATCAGGGCATGAACCTTTGGCGGTGTCCTGTGGGTTCTGGCACAGGGACATGAATCAGGCTTGTTTAGGCTCCTCCCATGGAGGCTCAATACGCTCTCTTGTGTGTATGTGTGTTTCTTTCTTTTTTAATATAATATTATATTGTGGAGGAATGATGGAGTACATTGTCTAGTTTTAAAGCTGTTGCTTACCTCCACCTTTAACCCTGTGTTTCACATTCACTTATCTGTAGGAGAACCCTTTTATGTCTCTGTGTCCTTGCCATCAATCTCAAGGTCTGTTTCTGTGTGTAAACTGCAGAGGCAGCATCATATGGCCACTGACAGCTTCCATACTTTCCCCCTCTGCTCAATAAAACTGCTGAACCCTTGCCAGAGCCTGAGAGCAGAGAGAGAGAGAGCCTGGTAGCTCTGCATCCAGGGCTCCCATCTGTTTACAGCAGTGTGCAGTTTTTCTTGTCAGCGTCTCTGTCAGGTTTAAATGTTTGCTCTCAAAAGCCTTCATGTCCTTCCTTCCTCTGGTTGTGGAGTGGGCGCCTTCAGACATAAGGTGTGCTGTGTACTGTATATGACTGGTGTTTGTATGTAGCTACTGTATGTAAGTATACATCTAGTCTATAGCATGTACGTTTGTGTTTATAGTACACTTTAATGGAAGATAAATTTAAGCATTTGTTTTAATGTAATCATCTGATATGATAATGTGCAGTATGTAGCCTGTGCTCTCTGTCCTATGAGGTCACTGCGTGAGCACCTAACAGATGGCAGCTGAACTTTTTGCTGTCTACTCACAAAGTTAACTCATCTCACTCATCATTTTCACTCATGTTGATTTGTCTGTATTTGGCATCAATCCTCAAAAGCCCAAAATCTTGACTCAGATTTGTTCTACAGAGTTTATATTACTTTCATTATTTTTGCCATGCCTATAACGAGTCACTTCCTTCACACGTTACAGCCTGCAGTTGTTGAATCCCCATCACTTTTTGTATTCATTACTCACGCAGTTGAGTAATGAATTAGATTTGACACATAAACATACATTAAACGCCTTACTATTACAAACTGATGGGATTTTATACAGTTTAAAAAGCAACTATAAAACCCAGTTCATGCTGCCAAAACTACCCCTGCAAAGCTCGATGATAATAACTCATTGTGATGGCTGCACTTACAGCCACACAGTGGGAATATCACCATATTAGTGTAGAGGCTTTTACACTCAACAAAAATATAAACGCAACACCTTTGTTACTGCTCCCATTCCCCATGGGATGGACGTAGAGACCTAAAATTCATTCCAGATACACAATATAACCATCCCTCCCAAACAGTGGTCACAAATCAGTCCAAATGTGTGGTAGTGGGCACATCTGCTATATTGAGATAATCCATCCCACCTCACAGGTGTGCCACATCAGGATGCTGATCTGACATCATGAGTAGTGCACAGGTGTACCTCAGACTGCCCACAACAAAAGGCCACCCTGGAATGTGCAGTTTTGTCTCACAGCAAAATGCCACAGATGCCACAAGCAATGAGGGAGCGTGCAATTGGCATGCTGACAGCAGGAATGTCAACCAGATCTGTCGCCCGTGCATTGAATGTTCATTTCTCAACCATAAGCCGTCTCCACAGGCGTTTCAGAGAATATGGCAGCACATCCAACCGGCCTCACAACCGCAGACCTCGTGTAACCACACCAGCCCAGGACCTCCACATCCAGCAGGTTCACCTCCAAGATTGTCTGAGACCAGCCACCCAGACAGCTGCTGGAACAATTGGTTTGCACAACCAAACAATTTCTGCACAAACTGTCAGAAACCGTCTCATGGACGCTCAACTGCATGCCCGTCGTCCTCATCGGGGTCTTGACCTGACTCCAGCTCGTCGCCGTAACAGACTTGTGTGGGCAAATGCTCACATTCTGGCACGTTGGAGAGGTGTGCGCTTCACGGATGAATCGTGGTTCACATTGTTCAGGGCAGATGGCAGCTGAGAATGTCCCAGTTCTTGCATGGCCAGCATACTCACCGGACATGTCACCCATTGAGCATGTTCGGGATGTGCTTGACCGGCGTATACGACAGCGTGTACCAGTTCCCACGAATATCCAACAACCTCGCACAGCCATTGAAGTGGAGTGGACCAACATTCCACAGGCCACAATTGACAATCTGATAGACTCCATGCGACGATGTGTTGCACTGCATGAGGCAAATGGTGGTCACACCAGATACTGACCGGTTCTGGGTCCCCAGACCCCCAATAGCGCAAAAAACTGCACTTCCAGGGTGGCCTTTTGTTGTGGGCAGTCTGAGGTACACCTGTGCACTACTCATGATGTCAGATCAGCATCCTGATGTGGCACACCTGTGAGGTGGGATGGATTATCTCAATATAGCAGATGTGCCCACTACCACACATTTGGACTGATTTGTGACCACTGTTTGGGAGGGATGGTTATATTGTGTATCTGGAATGAATTTTAGGTCTCTACGTCCATCCCATGGGGAATGGGAGCAGTAACAAAGGTGTTGCGTTTATATTTTTGTTGAGTGTACATAACATTGCATTCACATTTGTCTTTAAGTATAAGAATTAATTTACAGGACAAATAACTGATTTGGTTCAGAATTAATTCACATTTCCATGTAACACTGCATTCTAAAATAGGTGCGCACATTTTAGTTTACACTGTTATGTATGATTCATCTTTTGTTTTCTGAGTTACCTTAGTTGCAGCTGCTCCAGTCCCTTGATTGAGGAGTCAAGAGGTGGAAAAGGGGCAGAGCAAGCTTTAAAGAAAGACTGCAAATTGGTTCATTCCATAACTCGGGACCATGGGGGGGAATTGGAGTTCATTATGTTAGTTTCAGTTAGGTTTTGTGTGTTTTACCCCTTTGTATTTTTGTGGGCTGATCAGCCACTATTTAAGTTTCCCCTTTGTCTTGTTAAGTTAGGTCAGTTTGTTTTAGTTATCAGTAGTTTTGTCAACTTTGAGTAGAGTGCTGTTATTTTGACCTCTTTTATGGGCCCAAGATTTTGATTCTTTTTGCATGATTTAACCAATTGTGTTTTTGGGTTAAATAAAAAATCTTTTTTTGGGGACTTTAACCTGTGCCTAAATTTCCTTCGCTGCTCGGTCCATCACACTCATACATGATAAAGTGGCCGACTGTTTGAAGATCTTACCATCCAGCTAATATTGAGTATTTGAGCAAGTAGGTCCTTGGTCAGGGAGACTGCAAAGTCCTCTGCAGTGACGGAAGAAACTGTCAAAAGATAACTATTTGAGCTTCTCACTGTCAGCCAGGTCTTTATGTTAGTGTATCTTGGCCTGATTGTTTTTGGCTAAGGTCCATTGAAGTTTACCATATTATATTCAAAGAGCACTCAAGACACTATGGAAACCATCCTCTAATGTGAAGAGTCAAAAACTGAAATATCTGAGCAGAAGTCATACCCATCAAACACAGAACAATGCTCATTATGTGGCTACAACCACAGATACAGCGAAGCATGGTAGCGATTGCCTCTTGTTATGAGTGTGCTTCTCAACGGCAGTGACCAGAGCAGCTAATTTCAAATAAAAACAATGATTTACAAATGTGTTTGTAACAAAGACAATGATAAAAAAATATATATAGCAATTTCTACAAATGTACAAATAATGCAAAATCCAACTTGTGTGCTTTTCAGTTGTCTTTGTTGTATCAATACTCGTAAAATATGTTATGTCATGTTTTTGATTCGCGGCCCGTCAAACATGCATTTATCACCAGTGCTGAGACAAACAGAGGGCCGAACGATCTCACCCTTTTATCTTTTTCAGAAGCAGTCTTTTCCTTCCACCCTATCTATCATGTGAGTTGCAAGATGCATGACTGTGGTGCAGGTGTTGCCTGACCTACTTTAAGTGGAGCACATGCACCCCCGCAATTAGAAAAAAAGATGAGAACAGCAGAAGAAAACAGGGGAAATACTACCATCTTACCATCTTACTACAATGGGCAGTGCTGTGGATACTTACTCTCTCGTGTGTTACCTAAACACCAGTCTGCAACTTTCTAATCACATACTGTTTTTCCAAAGATCCCTTCCACTGTTGTAAGTATATATTTAATTACTAAGAATCAGCTAATTACAAGCTGAGACTTTGCTGACCAAGCCAAATGTGTTTTTCCTGTTTTGTTTTTTTTATCCTTAATTGCTTTAAGACAATGATAAAACTCTGCAGAGAAGAAGCCATTCAGGTCGAAGCGATACACAAGCTTGTTGGCAGGATAAACGTGTTCTTGATTTCAGTCTATTATCTCCCTGTCCAGATTTCCACAGTGTGCACCATCTTAAATGAACACAGAAGCAAAACCACAGAATGATGGGAGTCTCTACTTTACCCCCGGCCCGCTCACGCTCTCTGAAAACCTTCTGGCATGATCAATGAGTCAGTTGCGCTCCCTTGTACTCTCAGTCAAGGATATTAGAAGGTGTTTGTGATATTCCCAAAGAGTAAAGATCAAGGCAGAGAGCTTATCCTCCTCCTGTTCTGCAAATTCACATTTCCCCTGACAACAGCTTAAAGGTGGAGTTTGAATCTTATTATTTTTCCTCTGATCTCATCTTTCTCCTCATGTCCAAAGTTTTATGTCATAACCACAGAGCCACAGAGTTTCTGGTTCTGGTTTTCTGTTGAGCTATTATAGTTTCTTACATTTTCAGCTGCTTCTTTTATGCAAAAATATCAACTGTGCAAGTATTATATTGTTTAAACACTATGCTTGGCTTCACAGGTATTGGATTAACATTAGAGTAGCATAAAAATGATTTGGGGAACTAGATATGCTGGTAATTTAGGGCAGCTGTGACATAAACCCTGGCCTTGCTGGTGGTCTAATAAATTTGTTAAGCACTGCACATACAGATGTCTGTGTGTATTTGTCTGTGATTGATCATTTATCAGACCTCCTCACTGGGGAAGGAAAAGGTTAAATTGCAAGGAAGTGAGGTGAACACATGTGAATGACTGCAAATAGAAATGTGCTGATGTCGGCACTCCCACAAATATCCTCATTTCATGTCTTCCTCCATCTGAGGTCAAACTTACACTATGCATCAGACCCTCAGGCTCTTTGCTCATTCTCATAATCTCTCCTCTTTACTCGTATTCCTCACTCGTTCCTCAAATTTCAAACATCTCCTCAGTTTCCTCCGCCCCTTTCCTCTGTCTGATACTGAGTCCAGACTTAAACCTGTTTCCACACAGATGCCAAAGAAGATTCTCTAACAGGAGGAGGTGCTGCTAAAAGATTAGATGCTGTGACTAACACAAATAGCAATCCCACAGAGCACGCCTCACTACACAACTTGCTCTAAGCTACAATTAACCTACCCAGTACCTATAACACTGTACAGTGAAATGGATTTTGCACCATAAAGCTGCGCTGATGTTCCAATATTTTATGCAATACTGGGTGAGACATTTCTGACCTCGCTCTTAAAACTGGTCTGCATGAATTAGCATTGCTCTGATAATGTCATTAGACCCACAATGGCCTGAAAAAACAAACAAACAGAAAAGGATCGATATCAGAGCAGGAGAGGCAGAGCTTTTTTCTTTTCTTTTTATTCTCAACTCGTGGTCGTCATTTCCCGCAGAACAGTCAGTCCAGCCCAGTGTATGGATGTGTTAGTTTAGTGCTTATGTCACTTACTTCAACTGGAGCTAAAGAAGCTCTGGAACCCTTGAAACTCACTGCGTCCACCTAGAGTACAAGATAAAACCACAGCGCTGTGATTTTTCCCTTTCTTTCATCCTGACGTGTTCATTCTTGCTGCACTTTGCTAAAACGGGACTTACATAAATTTAGTGCAAATCAAATTTCACTCTTATCTGAACACAACATGAACTCAATCTATACTTAACTTTGCCCATTTTTACCAAAGGATCCAGACACCTCTCCATAATTATTTTAACACTTTATCCATGTCCTCCAATTATAACTTTCTTCTTTTATAATTTAAAAACCTTATCTTTGCAAATACCATTCTGGATATTGTTCTTCCTCCCGTCCCAGCCTCTACCGTCTCATGTGGCTTCTTTCACCCTCTCTACACAGCATCATTTTGTATTTTACTTATTCACAGATAACACCTGCCAGTTTTAACACTGTAAACAAAAATACAATGAGGGGATTTTATGTATCTGTGAAATACAACAAATAAGGAAATGGGTATAAGCTGCGGTGATGAGAAAATGACATCTTGAGGATCCATCTTTCTAATTTGAGGTGAAATATGTGTGTGCGCATACATACAGACACATAGGAAAGCTTTGCATTTTATAAACCACTCATGGCTTTGCATAAAATGACACTGAATACTCTGTCAGCACATGAAAAACCCAAAGACACTGAGGGTATGTGTTCTTACACGGAATTCAAATGGCAATGCGGTTAGATATGCAAGTCTATAACTGGTCTGTTTCTTATCTATGGTACAGGTGTAGTACATGATCACAGAGCATGATCAAATGTCCTCTTCCATGCAGACTCTTTGGCATGCAGTCCACGCAGTACTTTTGTTGGAGATAAGACAAAAGGTGGGATGAAAACAGCTGGTTTAATTAAGGAAGACGTGTTATTGAATCCAACCAAGCAGGGTCAGTGTTATGAAGGAGGGAGAATTAAAATGGAAATGTATTTTCACTAACAGGCACCACATCCTGAAATTAGACAGTGTTTCTTGAAAGACAATGGTGGATGGAACAAAAAAATGGATCTAGGGTTGAGACTGTGGTTTGGGAAAGGCCTCAGTGAGCACTGGGCTGAGCCGATCCTCAGAGGTGTGACAACTGAGGATTAAAGTAAAACAAATAGGCTGTGCTGCAGAAAGTCATATACACTCTCAGAACCAGAGGGGAAGTGTGTGAGGTGTGCTCCCGACCATGAAATTCCGATAAATTATCTTCAATTGTTGGGAAAGAGAAATGAAAAAGAATGATCTAATTAGATAACGGTGAACAAATAAAGGTATACTCTGCCTCCAAAAACATCTCGTACACACATAAGCAGTCATTGATTTTTTTGTGCTGTTTTTCTTTAACGTTCTGCTATTAAGTAATAAACCTATCCTTACACTAAGTCATAATGGGATCACACTCCCGCAGGGTATGACTGAAGACCTTAAGGCTGATGACCTGTGTCAGGCCATGCCTCCTGGGTGGGGTCAAAGGTCCCAAGTATTCCCAGAGAGAAAACACAGTCCTCCGGCAGCTTTGGCACCGAGTAGAAGTGGATCCAGTCCCAAAAGGCATTCAGTGTTCCATGTACATCACCCCCATGCACCCTAATACAGTTTTGCTACCTCAGGTGGTTGCCTATATTTCCCAGGTGATCACAAAAAATGTTTACAGCGCTTGCCACTTTTCCATTACACCTCCAGACTTCTGCAGGTCAGTCAGCTATAAGTTCACCTACTGAGTGGCTCATATGTTCACCTGCTTATTGGGCAAAGAGAACTGTTGCCATGGGTTACCAATTGCAGGTCCAGGGCAGAGCACCTCATTTCCTCTCAGAAGTAAACCCTGCTTTAGGGGACATAATAGCAGCAATAGCTATCGGGGAGGAAATAAACAAGCTGCTTAAGAGGAGACAAAGAAGAGGTGATTTAAAAGTCACTCTGTGAAACTCAACAGTTTCTAAGGTTTGGACTAAATGATACAACTTAAATTTTGGGCCTGTCACTCAACCCCTGCTG